TTCTGTTCACTATTGTATCCCCAGCCCTTGGGACAGGATCTGGCACAATTGCTTGACTCTAGTCTGCTGCTAATGCCACCTGGGTTGGTCTCAGTAGTGTGCTACAGGGATTTCATTAACATACTATAATGGAACATAATGAGTTAACAAATGATATTTTATTAAGATGGTATTCAGTTTAGTATTTTCACGCTATATGCTTTTTATAGTTTATACTGATAATGTCAGGGTCTGGAATCCCACATCTTAGCAGATGACCTCCTCTGGCTCTATATTTCTGTTTCTATGAAGTTGCAAGATGACTCCATTATATTCAGAGATCTGCCTGTTAAAAATGACCTGAGATATACACGAGGCAACAGAAGACTCTCCTGAGACAGGAGGGTAAGAAGTGCAATTCCACCGGATACTAAACATTTTATCCTCCTGCCTCTTAACATTCTAGCAGATCTCTGATCATCTTATCCTCTAATCCTTACTGTTTCTTTTTTATTTTGCTTTATCACTTTGGAATTTGGAAAACAGAGAGGTCAAATAAAAGGAGAGACAAATAGAGAAAGGTGTTAGAGTGGCACCCAAGGCACTTTAACCTGACTTGGAAGTGGAGAGCACTATCAAGGAAATTGAGTGCAGCCTTAGGAAACCCCATTGCTGGGAAAAGAAGAAGATAAAGAGTTGGCAACTCTTCCCATCAAGTCTCCTTCTCGGAGAAGTCTTCCTGATGAAGCTCTCCATTCTCAGGTCAGTTAGGACTTTATCAGCCTCCCCATGCCCTGGTGAGTACTTTATTTGCCCTAAACACATTCACTTTGGTTACATGTTCCTTTTGTGGCCCCTTTCAGGTCAGAGTCAGAGGCCCTCTTAGGTCAGATTATGTACTCCTGAGGAGGTCCTAAGGGCTTATGCTCTGCAGGGAGGTACTTAGGAGATATTCTATTTGCTGAACATTTGTGGAACAATGACTATATGTGAAACACTATGCTTGATTATGTAGGCATTCTGAGAGAAAGGTCTAGCTTGGGACACTGAGGAAATTGCAAGTGAAGCGTGGATAATAAGAGAGATAGCTGCTTAACTTTGATGCAAAGTAGAAAAATAAGTACATGAGAAAAGCGCTAACCAAGGGTGCTGGGAATCTGCCTATCTATCTATCTATCTATCTATCTATCTATCTATCTATCTATCTAGAGATAGGGTCTCATTCTGTCACCCAGGCTGGAGTGCAGTGGTAATGATCATAGCTCATAAGCTCATGCAGCTTTGAACTACTGGGCTCAAGCAATCCTACCACTTCAGCCTTCCAAATAGCTAGGACTACAGGTGCACACCGCCACACCTGGATATCTTTTTTTTTTTTTTTTTTTAATACCTTTTGTGGAGATGAGGTCTCACTGAGTTGCCCAGGCTGGTCTCAAACTCTTGGCCTTAAACAGTCTTCCTGCCTTGGCCTCCCAAAGTGTTGGGATTACAGGCTTGAGCCACTGTGCCTGGCCTGGCACTGGGAATTTAAAGGAATGAGGCAGCACATCTGATGGGGGAAATCAGAAATAATACCAAGAAGGAAGATGTATTTGCAGTGCATCTTGAATAAGTGAGCCAAGCCAATGTTTAGAAAACATTGGCACTTTTGTGGAATAGCAGTTTGATTCTGGTAGAGAAAAGAGTATGAGGTGATGGTGGGTACAGCAGTCAAGGCCATGAGGAGGAGATGGAGTCAAAACCAGGCCATTTGGTTGCTGAGGTACATGGCAGTTATACATCTCTAGATTTCTTCCCCCCCAGAATGTTGATTCTCTGTGAGCATGTGGGATTTTCATTTTTTATTTTTTTGAGTCAGAGTCTCGCTCTGTCACCCAGGCTGGAGTGCTGTGGTGTGATCTCTGCTCACTGCAACCTCTGCCACCCAGATTCATGCCATTCTCCTGCCTCAGCCTCCCAAGTAGCTGGGACTACAGGCACCCACTACCACGCCCAGCTAATTTTTTGTATTTTTTAGTGGAGACGGGGTCTCACCATGTTAGCCAGGATGGTCTCGATCTCCTGACATTGTGATTCGCCCGCCTCGGCCTCCCAAAGTGCTGGGATTACAGGCGTGAGCCACCGCGCCCGTCCAGGATTTCTACATTTTATTTCTCTTGAGCTCATTACTCAATTCTTGAGAGGTCTTTCATTTTATTTTCCACTGAATGTATAATTTGTATTAAAAGTATAAAAGACTAAAAAGGAGATTGAGTACTGAGCATGAAGGTCCTGAATTCATATGGGTGAGCCATGCATGATCAGAGCTGTAACTAGGAGGATTTGTTTGCAGGGTTAATTTAATATGAGAGACAGGAAGGGGCCCCTACTTTGTCAAAGTGGGAGTTTTGATGGCCCTAATCTATAGAAAGTACAGTGAGATAGAAAGGGAATAGAGTTGAAAATCTAAGGTAATGCTCAGGTTTCAAGCCTAGGAAGTTGAGAAAATGGCAAGGCCATGAACAGAAACATGGAATGAGTATAAGACCGATTTGAGATGGAGGATGGTGAGTTTGCTTTGTGACATGTTAATCATTGTAGATAGAGATTTGAAGGTCATTTGCAGAAGTGAACTTTGAAAATAGAAGAGTGTTTAACACTAAAAAGAGAGAAGAAAAGGGCCAAGGACAGAAACCTGAGGAGCTTTCCTTTGGTGATTTGTTGGGGGATGGAGCAGCACAGTCAGAGTAGTGCAAGTGAACCAGGGGAGGGCAGTAGCACCGGAGCTCAGGGAACCCAGAGCATCCAGGTGGTTTGGATACTGCCTGCAACGTGTGGGCTCTCAAGAAAGTCTTTTGAACTAAGCTGAGAGAGATGTAAGATGATAGAGATTTGGTGAATGAGTGGTGTGGTGGCCCTAACGAGGGAAGCTTCAGCACAGACTGGGATCAGAAGCCATGTGCAGAGGCTGTGGAACAAGGAAGTGGTGAGGAAGGGGAGTCAGGCTGTGTCTGTTTTTGGAAGTGGTTTGATAGAGAAGGAAAGAGGAAACAGCAGAAGCTTGGGAGGTAGCACTGCTTAGGAAGGTTTCTTTTTAAGAAGTCAGGAGAAACCTGTGGCAGGGATGGATGGAAAGGAGAGACTGAGGATAACAGAAGCAACAGGACATTAGAGAGGTGGGAGGCAATGAGATAGAGAGTCATACTTATTAACATACCCAGCTTGGCAGAGGAGAGGGGGCCAGACTGAGGAAGAGAAGAACTTCTTCCGTCTCTTCTCAGGAAAAATTGAAGTGAGGGTTGGATGCAGTGGTTCACACCTGTAATCCCAGTACTTTGGGAGGCCAAAGCAGGGGAATCGCTTGAGCTCAGGAGTTTGAAACAAACCTGGGCAACATGGCAGGATCTTGTCTCTACTAAAAATAAAAAAAATTAGCTGGGTGTGGTGGTACACACCTGTGGTGCCAGCTACATGGGAGGATCACTCGAACTTGGGAGTTCAAGGCTACAGTGAGTGGTGATCATACCACCACACTCTAGCCTGGGCCACAGAGTGAGACCCTATCTAAAAAAGAAAGAAAAAAAGAAAAGAAAAGAAAAGAACTGAAGCAATGTCACCTGCTCTCAGCAGGAAGGAAAGTGGATAAGGTTGTGGATTTGAAGACAGTGGCTAAGGATTAGAACAGCTCCTCTGGTGGAAGATGTGGGGAATGGGTCTGAGATCTAGAGTCCTGAGCAGCAGTAACCAGGCAGAAATGGGAGAAGACCAAGGCATGGTGCCTTGGGCATGGGAGCATCAGCAGCCCCAAATTCTGGGCTTCAGGTTTGGCAAGAAGGCAAGGGGAGGCCAGGTAGAGGTGACAGAGACCTGGAAATCTGGATCAAAACAAAAGCAGGCCTATAGAAGGAATGAGGCCAGATGTGGTGACTCATGCCTGTAAACCCGGCGCTTTGGGAGGTGGAGACAGTAGGATTGCTTGGGGCCAGAAGTTTGAGATCAACTTGGGCAACGTGGCCAGACCCCGTCTCTACAAAAAATTGAAAAATTAGCTGGGTGTGGTGGTGCACACCTGTATTCTTAGCTACTTGGGAGACTGAGGTGGAGGATTCCTTGAGCCCAGGAGTTCGAGGTTGCAGTGAGATATGACCAGGCTACTGCCTGGGTGACAGAGTGAGATACTGTCTCAAGAAGAAAAGAATAGGAGGAAAAGAAAAGAAGGAATAGGAGCAGAGGAACTAGGGAGGGAACAATATTGGGTCACTTATTTTCTCATGTTCCCCTCTCTCCGTACAGTATTTAATGTCTTTTTTTTAACCCTAGCCTCACCCTCCTCATGACTTATAACTAGTCTCTTTTAGTACTGTTCTAGATTGTGTGTGCTACAATGTAGAAAATAAAATAATGGAAGCTGATCCTAGGATGAATACATCCTAGGCTGCTACAATTTATTCCAGGCATTGTGTTAAGCATTTTGCATGCATAACCTTATTTATTGCTTATGAAAACTCTGTAAGTTTAAATGCTAAGCTTTTAATATGTCTTCTTAAAGATGAGTCACAGAGAGATTGGGTAAATTGTTCAAGGTCACATGGCAAGTGAATGATGGAATTGAGTTTTGGACCCAGGTGGGCTGATTTGAGCCTTACCTGTGCTCTTAACCACTTTTCTAAACTGCCTCTCTGCCAAGACCTGCCACACTTGTCATAGAGCAACTGTATTGCCTTTAAAAAAAATCACTCAGTCAAATTGTCATTGTCATAACAATAACATCTGAATCAGCCTTTACAGTTTGGAAATCACATTATTTCTTCAGTCTTCACAAGATCTCTGTGAAGTTTGCAGGCATGTGCAGGACAAAGGAAGAGACCTTCAACTCCAAAATCTCTATATCTTTACTCCTGGAAGTCTTTGAAGTTTTGTTATTCCAGAGTGTGACCAGACCAAAGAACTGTGATATTTTTTCTGTTAACTATGCTAGGCTTTTTTTTTCTTCTTTTTTTAACTAAAGGAGTTCTTTCCACAGACCTTCTGCTTCTTTCCAGGTCATAGAACTCTATATGTGGGAGTTCGGATGCCGCTTGGCCGGCAGAGCCATCGGCACCACCGCACTCATGGCCAGAAGCACCGGAGACGAGGGCGGGGCAAAGGAGCCAGCCAGGGGGAGGAAGGCCTGGAAGCCCTGGCCCACGGTAATGGCCTTGGGAGACAGGGCGGGTGTCCATGGCCCAGAGGCATGGGGAGGCTGAGGGAACATGTGACTGACATTAGAAGCTGGTCTTGATTCTTGAGCCTTTTTGTAGGATTTTCAGAGCTTCCTTCCAAGAAGAAATGCCTCTAAGAGGCAAAAATATTTTCATGAAAACTTCACAGTTCTGACCTCCTAAAATCAATACCGTAATAGGTAAAATCCCTTGCTGGAGAATTAGCCAATCTTTTTGATCAAAATTCACCAGTTTTCCAGTTTCTTGTGGGTTTTCTTCAAGTGGTCTTCATTCATAAATTTTTCCTCCCATGAAGCTACTTCTACAGAGTAGCTTTTCCTCTGAGAATAAAGAAATATTTTTCTTCTGCATTCGTTGTCTATATATATTCCTAAAGTTGTTAAGTAGGGAAGAATGCTATTTCTGTTCTAAGTGTGAGGCTAGAGCAGACCTTTCTCTTTGGTTGATTTCCTAGACACACCATCTCAGCGTGTTCAGTTCATTCTTGGCACCGAGGAAGATGAAGAGCATGTGCCTCATGAGCTGTTTACAGAGCTGGATGAGATCTGTATGAAAGAGGGAGAAGATGCTGAGTGGAAGGAAACAGCCAGGTAAGGCCCTAAAATGGCCTGCATCAAGATCTGCTTGGGTAGGCAAATGTATACCTTTCAGCAAGTGACAGGCCTGCCTGCCTTATTTCTTCTTGGGAGAAGCTGTGACTGACACGGGGACTGACATTCCAGCGTCTCCCATGGAGAGTTTTGGTGTTGGCATCTTTATGATATCTTTGGTGATATCTATGCCAGTTGACCTGGAGCATGGGATTGGTGAAATAACATGGGATATTCAGGGGTCCCCTCTCATTTGTTTGGGGCTCAGAGTAAGTTTATGGGCTATCTTGGTACTATTATAGGTCTGGCTTAGAAGATGTAGACAGGGCCACCTTCGTGGGGACCTAGTTTAGCAGACGCAGCATAGGTCCAGACTTCTTCTGCAAGTGAACCATAGGGTTCAAATTCACTGGCAGTCACAGAGTTTTTGAGACTTTAACTTCCTCTGGGACAATTCAACCTCATAGAGACCCTTGGGATTATATCCAGCCTGACTGTAGGCTTCCTGGAGTGGTTATAGAATAACTATGCTTCTCTGAGACTCAAATCCCAGAAGAGCCCTCAGGATAACCAAGGACATGTCTAGGCTCCTCTAGTAACTGACCAGTGAACCTTACAGATGATGCCTGAGCCTCGAGGAAGGAGCGAGGTGGGTAATTAGGAAAGTGTGGCTTCAGCTCTCACTGAAACAGTTCTTGCTGGATGCCTGCTGTATTGTAAATGTTATGGGTTGAGAGATTTAAACAGGCCAATTGACCTGATACTAAGTGAAAAGGCAATCAGTCTTTTGTTATTCCGTCTTGGCAGACTTCTAAAGGTCACACAGAACACTGAACACTAAAGGTCACATAGGACAATGATTAAAAAAAAATATCATTTTATTAATGTGATTTGTCAGTATGTACAAATGATATAGATTAAATCTATTTTTTTAATTGTACAGGTAACTCATGCTTATTATAGAAAGTTTAAGAATAAAGACAAGCAAAAAGAAGAAAAAAATTGTCTGTAATTCCATAGCTGCAGGGTTAGTGAGGAATGTAATATTTGGTGTCTTATACATGTAGGTATTTGACTTTTAAAATTTTTTTAAAAATGAGAATGGAATTAAACTATACTCAATCTTGCAGTGTTCTATTTCCTGCTTTTTTCACTTATCAATGTACCCTGAACATATAGATTAGATTTTACAATGTTCAGTATGGCTATCCAGATATTTTCCTCTGTGGCTTACATTGAAGATTCTCTCTTAAAAATTCCTCATTTTCTATCTTTGGCATCTAGTTATTTGTAATGCTTTCAGGTGGCTGAAGTTTGAAGAAGATGTTGAAGATGGAGGAGAACGCTGGAGCAAGCCTTACGTGGCAACCCTTTCATTGCACAGCCTGTTTGAGCTAAGGAGCTGCCTTATTAATGGAACAGTCCTTCTGGATATGCGTGCAAATAGCATAGAAGAAATTTCAGGTAAGGTTGGGGAAGGAAAAACAGAGAAACTTTCTTATGAATTTAAGAAGAGTGGGAAAAAAAAGAGTGTGGTGTGGCAGAAAGAATACAGTGGCTTGTGTGACCTTGGGCAAGCCACAACCTTCCAGGCCTCAATGTCCTTGACTGTGGGAAGTGTTTCAGGCTAACAAACAACTCTACCTACTTCACAGGTGTATTATGGGATTCAAATGACATGGTGTTAAGTTTCCATTTGTCTGTTTATTCAGCAAATGTTTTATTTTGTATCTGCTATATACTTGGTAATGTGCTAGGCATGGGGGAATAAAGTCCCCTTGGGTACGGTGGCTCACACCTGTAATCCCAGCACTTCGGGATGCCAAGGTGGGTGGATAACTTGAGCTCAGCAGTTCCAGGCCAGCCTGGTCAACATGGTGAAACCCTGTCTCTACAAAAAATACAAAAATTAGCGGGGCATGGTGGCTCATACCCGTAGTCCCAATTATTCAAGAGGCTGAGGCATGAAGATCACTTGAGCCTGGGAGGTCAAGGCTGCAGTGAGCCAAGATTATGCCACTGCACTCCAGCCTAGGTGACAGAGTGAGACCCTGTCTCTTAAAAAAAAGAAAAAAAGAAAAAGAAAGAAATGGTTCCTGCCTTCAAGGAGCTCACCTTCAAGTGGGGGAAATAGCCATGGAAATGACAATTAAAATAAATGCAACAACAGAGACATGCTTGATAATAATTAGAGAAAAGGACAATTGGAAGTTGTGTGGAAAAAAGGAGTAAAGAGAATTAAAGACTTTAAAATATAGCATCTAGGGCAGATATGCAGGAACTTGAGCCAAAGTGCCTCTACCTCTTCAGTAAGATGTGAAGGGGAGATGTCTAATTGTTCTTCCTGAAGTGATTGAGTGTTAAGTTACTGTGTTTGGGGCCTGCATGGAGAAACACCTGGGCGCATGATGTGAGTTTTCCCTTGAATTGGTTCTGTTTGGCTGGACAGGTTAAAGAAATATTTCTCCAAATCTTTCTCTATTTCAAGTATCCGAGTCATTCTGTCTCTCTGGGATCATAGGAGGACCCAGGGGAGGGGTAAGCACTGATGGGACATTGGATCCCCCTCTTTGTACCCCAGAAGTATCACTTTGCCTGGGAAAAATGAAATTCTCATGTTCATCATTGGAATCACATTTTGCTAACTTTTGACTATTTGTCTGAAATCCCATGAATGTCCCTAAAAAGGTTGTTTGTTAGGGAGAAGAATCCCTGGGAGCCATTGAAGCTGTTTAAAACTTTGTAAACAACAGCAGTCACTGGAGAGTTTTGGACAGGGTGATGATCAATCAGATTTTGCATATTAGAAAGATAATGATGATAGCAATATGGAGGGTGAATTGATGGGAGAAATGCATTAGGCTATTGCAGTAGTTCAGGTGAGATCACCTGCACTGTGGGCAGTGGCAGTTAAGGGGTGGATAATTTTTCTCCTGGTAACTTTAAGTGATAAGAGAGATAGAGGGAGACATGAGGTGGATGTTCTTTTTTTTCCCCCAAGATGAAGGGTCCTGAAGCATGATTATAATATCGGGGGAAGGAACCAATGAATATAAAGGTTAAAAATACAGAAATATGGCTCTTCAGCTTGAATATGAAATAGATTTTCCTCATTTATTGCTTCTAGTACTTGGATAGTCGTGGATGGAATTAGAAATTGAGGATAGGTTGAGGTTTTTGGGAGGCTTTTGAAGTAGTATGTAGGACTGAAGTAAAGTGCTATGATTCTTCACATCAGGTACCTAATATATTCATAATATTTTAGTGATACAGAGTAAAGTGCATAAAGGAAAGTCAGCACTCTCTCTATATCATCTCGTTTAATTTCCTGTAACAACCTTCTGACAGATAATATGAGCTCCATGTTACAGATGAAGAACTGAGGTATAGAGAGATTATATACCTTGCTCAAGATCACACAGCTAGAAAGTGGTAGAACAGGGAAACAATGTGGGCCTTTAACTCCAGAACCTATACTGATAACTGCTATGTTGACTGCCACTTATCCCTAGGTATTGAGATTTTTTTCCCCTTCAACTCTGTTGGGCTTGATAGGTTTAAAGGTGATACTTGGTGGTAATTGTCTGGGGTGAGTGGTTAGTTAACTTAATTTTTCTTATAGATTCCTCTTCTAAATATCCCTTTGGAGTTCTACAGTTATAGTTCTTCTTGACAATTACAGCAATGTTAAAATCTTGGAGGAAGGGAATGTAGGGGAAATTTGGCAGATGACAGAACAAAGTAGGTGATAATGTGAACTTTCAAATTATACAGTCCTGAATTTGAATCCTAGCTCTGCAAACTGCTAGATGTAAGACATTGGAGAATTTTCTAGCATTTGGGCCTCAGTTTCCTCATTTGTAAAAATTGTTGTGCTAGTGCTCACTAGTTTCTATGCCCAATAATAATAATTTGTAACATGAATAAAGTATAACTTTTCGCAGTCACTATCATCAGATAAATGGTACTTTCAGACATGAAGCTGAAATTGTACCTCAATGATCCTAGTGGAGCTGCTTCCCCCTACTGTATGCCCTTTACCCCGCTCCACCTGATGTTGGCCTCCTTGGGTTCATTAACCCTCAGTCTGAGTGTTCATGTGAGTGCCTACTTTCCAGACCTGATCCTGGATCAGCAAGAACTGTCCAGTGACCTGAATGACAGCATGAGGGTTAAAGTGCGGGAAGCCCTTCTCAAAAAGCATCATCATCAGAATGAAAAGAAGAGAAACAACCTCATTCCCATTGTTCGCTCCTTCGCTGAGGTTGGCAAGAAGCAGTCTGATCCTCATTCGATGGATAAACATGGTAAGATTATTAGGTGATTTTTCTCTCTTTATTAATAAGACATTGGGAACTAGTTGGAGATACTGACTTACTAGGGGTAGGGGCTGTATTTGTCTAATATGTTTCCATGTCCACTTAGGCACTTAGTACTTTTTCAAGACTGGTAAGATTGGTGACTGGGACTGGTGCCCATCTCTGTCTCATGGCATTCCTCAGATAGGTTTTAACGGACCCAAGATGAGGGACTTATGCCCCAGGGTGGCCTCAGAACTGATGTAGCTTTTGAGAGATAGCCACATTGGGGATAATTTGAGACCAGAGAAGGTAAACTGGAGCTTTTTAGAAGCAAACAAATGTCTTAGATTAGGGAGGCAAAATACAGTAGAGTAGGTTCTTGAGTCAGACTTGTAGGCTTGTGATTGTGGCTTTACCACTCACAAAATATATGACTTTGGGCACTCTACTAAGCCTCTTTAAGTCTCACTTTCTTACCTATAGAGTAAGAGTAATAATAGGACCTACTCCACAAATTTATTGTGAACTTCAATGAGTTAATCCATGTAAAGCCTTAGCCAGATGCATGGTGGATTATAAGCACTCAGAATTTCAGCTGCTGATTGGTTCCTTTTCCTGTGGCCAGGCAGGGTCTCATCTACATTTATTTCCTGGTCTCTACTCATATTGAATCACCATGTGCAGGGGATATGCCTGGGAATCTATATTTTTGAAAAATTTTCCATAGGGGTCTCTCATATGCATGTCTGGTGAAGGATCACTGCCTTAATAGAGAAATAAAAGAGGATCATAAATGTGTTCAGAAAGAAGGTACAGAAGTAGCAAGAGCTCTGTCCTTCTCTTACCACTAACTAGTAGATAAGGAGAAAGATATGTGTGGGTCTTGACTTCATAGTCATCTTAACCTCTTTTCTATGTGGGCTTTGCAGGAGAAGGCAGAACCACCTGATACTGGGTGGGATGTATCAGAAGGGGAAAAGGGCAGGGACTCAGGATTTTGTTTGATTTTCTCCATATAGGTCAAACCGTGTCTCCTCAGTCTGTTCCAACTACAAATCTTGAAGTAAAAAATGGAGTGAATTGTGAACATAGTCCTGTGGATTTAAGCAAGGTGAGCAGAGTCGTGGGAAATTGGCTTCTAGGCCTAAGGTTCTTTTTAGTGAAATCCGGAGTTTAATTGCTGGAATCTGGGTAAGGTTTAGTGTTTCAAGACTCTTAGGGAGACTTTCAAGTCTTAGGGAGACTAGAGCTTTTTCTGCATAAAAGGAGGCCCATCTGTGCATGTCTTTTCCCTTCTACTTCAGCCTGGGTGAAGCTGACTCAACAGTTTCTTCCTCCAGATTCAACCTACTGAAAACTGAGACTAGCTACTTAGAATCTTCCCTAACACAGATCTCTTGATTTTTCACTTATTTTTTTGGTGCCTGCTCTCCAGCAGTTCCTTCTCACCCCCAAGGGTTTTGCCAAAACAGTATTTTGGATATCTATTTAGAGACAGATGTCTCCTAAAACTAATTCTTGGTTGAAGCTCTCCTTGAGGACTGTGACTTTGGTATCTGAGGCCTTCTGTAGTAGCAGTGCCTCACTGCAGCTTCTGGTCCAAGCCTTGGTCTCCTTGTCTCTAGCCTCTCCTTGCTCTGGTCTGTCTTTGACACTGTGTTTCTAAAACACAGATAGTGTCTTATCACTTTCTCTGCTCATAAGGCTGTCCATTTTATTTAGAAAACCTGAAACCCCTGACAAAACATTTGAGTGTTTAAAAAGGGAAAGAATGTGACCCAGAGCTTCAGAAACATTTCTCCTGGAGGAAGCTTAGGGGACTGGGATTGAAATAAGAATACCTGGTTTTAAAATCCAAATCTATACCTTAAAAGCTCTGTGGTCCTGGGCAAGGCAACTTCACCTCTCTGGGTTTCAGATACTTCAATTTTTTTTTCCTTTAAGTGGGACGAATGCAGTCTGTCATATCTTCCTTCTGGGGTTTTTGTAAGGATCAAATAAAATAGTGTAAGAAAACATTTGCTAACCATAAAATGACATATGAGTGTAAAGTATGAGGAGGGTGATTGATATTTAAGGTGATGGGGCCGGGTGCCGTGGCTAACGCCTGTGATCTCAGCACTTTTGGAGGCTGATGCGGGTGGATCACATGAGGCCAGGAGTTTGAGACTAGACTGGCCAACATGGCAAGACCCCATCTCTACTAAAAATACAGAAAAATTAGCTTTACATGGTGGTGCATGCCTGTAATTCCAGCTACTGGGGAGCCTGAAATACAAGAATTGCTTGAACCTGGGAGGCAGAGAGCTGTGAGCACTGCACTCCAGTGTGGGTGACAGAGTAAGACTCTGTCTCAAAAAAAAAGTAAATAAAAATTTAAAAAATGATATTTAAGGTGGTGGTTCCCAAGTTGTCAGAGGATTCTTTTGAACTTTCAGGTAGACCTTCATTTCATGAAAAAAATTCCTACTGGGGCTGAGGCCTCCAATGTCCTGGTTGGAGAGGTGGATATTTTGGACCGTCCCATTGTTGCCTTTGTGAGGCTGTCTCCAGCTGTTCTTCTCTCAGGCCTAACAGAAGTGCCAATCCCAACAAGGTAAAGGCAAAGATAAAACTCATGCATTCTATCTAATATTCAAATTTATGTAGTGCTGGTAGAAGAAACCAGTTAATACTGAAGTTTAGAATTAATTAATTTTAGGAATGGTGTTTACAATTCAGCAGAAAAGCCAGATGTGCTGGTATGTGCCTCTAATCCCAGCTACTTGAGAGGCTGAGGCGGGGAATTACTTGAGCCCAGGAGTTTCAGCCTGCAATGAGCTAGAATCCTAGGATGGCACCATGGCACCCCAGTGTGGGTGACAGAGTGAGACTCTGTCCTTTTTTTAAAAAAATCAGTAATCTCAGAAAATTGAGGTATATTTGATTAACCACCATGAAAAGGAATTCTGAGATTTCTCAGGCTGTGACTGCACAGTATCTTCAGTCTTGGAAACAGAGAATTGAGACCATTCACAGGACATAGCAAGGGCCAATAACTTGTTAAAATAGGAAGCCAAGTCTTATCTTCTCAGTTCTATAGAGCCATTTTCCAGGGAAACGTCTCTGAATAAAGGTATTTGTTTCCCTTTACACAATTCTGGCAGGGTTTGCATGGTTTGCAGATATACAAGCATTTGTTCAAAAGGCTATTCATGCACTCTGAAGGTGGTGATGCTGGTGATTCGGAGCCCTGCTACTTACAGAGAGTATTCAGATGTCCAGAACACATTTAGACTCCTATGTAAGGCTTGATCATTTCAACTTCCTTATCCCTCTCCTCTCCCCATCATTTTCTTATTAGAACAATAAGTAGAATTCAGACAACCTTGAATTTGCACCACAGTGCCATGTTTTGAAAAAGCATATTTTCTACAGCTAGGAATTGTGTCTATGGAAACCCTAAGAAATGTAACCACATTATTGAATGATGCCACACAATAGCTTCCAATGCCCATAGTAGAGCTATTATTAGGTCAAAGCAACTCAAAGTGCACTTTTATTACTGTCTCCTTGTTTTTTTTTTTTTTTTTTAAGGTACAGTGATGATTTCTGTATGATAGGAGAGAGAAATCTTATGCTGTTTAGAGAGTACTAATAGCCCTTCTTTATATTTACTCACATAATTTCCTCCTCTGTGTGTTTTGCCAGATTTTTGTTTATCTTATTGGGTCCAGTAGGGAAAGGTCAGCAGTACCATGAGATTGGCAGATCCATGGCCACCATCATGACAGATGAGGTATGTGCAACTTCTGCTTCAGTCTTCCATCTCATAAATATTTATTGAATATTTACTCTGTGCCAGACACTATGCTAGTTGTTGGGGATAAAATACTTTCCATCGCAGTGTCTGCTGGGACGTAGTTCAGGGCACTTCTCTGAGAGCCTAGTGTGGAAGGACCAAGCTCTAAAGGATTTTTCTTCCTATGTTATCTCTCCTTTTTTGAGTAATCAAGAATGCAGAGAAATCTTTTTCTGGGGAAACTATTATTGCCAAGTAGGATATAGAGAGAAATATATTAAGGTTGGCTTAACTTTCAAGAGAAGATGGTTAATTAAATACATTCAAGCTATTTACATATAGAAACCTCACTCCTGTTCCACTAAATGAGACCGGTTTGTATAAGGTCATGGGTATGACCTCAGGCAGTGTAGTGTGAATGTCTTGACTAGTCTGTACCAAAACAACCAGACATTTTGAGATTTTGACATAGAACCCACAGTGCATACTCTGATAAGGACTGCACTGCTTGGTAAACTGCAAAGTAGGGCTTTCAAGGCATATGCCTTAGGCGGCAGAGGGAGGTGTGGCCTGTTTTTTGTCAGCTTTCTTTGATTGGTAGGCTTAATTCATGAAGGACTTTCATTAGTAATTCCATCCAGTGTTTCCAACCTTCATGATCAAGAAAATTTCCCTCTCAACCTGGGAAAACTGATTTAAAAAAAATTTTTTTCATACATCTTGCCTTTCCTTCCATCCTTTGTGGAGGTAACATAATTGTACAACTTTAGAGTCATGTCTTATCTCTTCTTATACTAGCAGACATGTATTTAGCTCTTTTTGATGCATCTCTTTCCACACTCGTTTTTTAAATCCTTTTATCCTTGTACTTCTCTAAGTGCTAAAGTTTTCTGCATCTCAGATCCCCATGACAGAGATAAAAATCAAGAGATTGTATTCATTTTTCACCATATCCATTGGTGATTGTTTCATGTAAAGTTACTTTTAACTTTCCTGAGGGTTTTTTCTTCTCCGTAGATTTTTCATGACGTAGCATATAAAGCAAAAGAGCGAGATGATCTCCTGGCGGGGATTGATGAGTTCCTAGACCAGGTGACGGTGCTCCCTCCAGGAGAGTGGGATCCCTCCATTAGAATTGAGCCACCCAAAAACGTCCCTTCCCAGGTAATGTATGCACATCAGCCAATGTGGCTATTGTCACTTACTGACTGCCCACCATGGACAAAGCAAAGACCATGTGGGTATATGCTAAATATATCAAGATGCAGCCCTGTTTTGGCGCACCTAGAATATCAAAACAGTAATAAAAATAAATCTGGGCCGGGTGTCGTGGCTCACACCTGTAATCCCAGCTCTTTGGAATGCTGAGGCAGGTGGATCACCTGAAGTCAGGAGTTTGAGACCAGCCTGGCCAACGTGGTGAAACCCAGTCTCTACTAAAATTACAAAAATTAGCTGGGTGTGGTGGTGGGTGCCTATAATCCCAGCTACTTGGGAGGCTGAGGCAGGAGAATTGCTTAAACCTGGGAGGCGGAGGTTGTAGTGAGCCGAGATGGTGCCACTGCACTCCAGCTTAGGTGACAGAGCGAGACTCCACCTCAAAAAAAAAAAGAATTTGCGTAACATAAATTGGCTCAGGTGTGATGGGGTTAGTTAGGATTACCTGAGGATGAATTTTAAGCCAAATTTTGAAGGATTAATGTGAAATAGCAGAGAGAAGGCAGAACATTTCTTGTGACTACATTGTATACAAGTCATCAAATGAAAAAATCAAGTTGTATAAAGAGAGCAAATAGAATGTCTGATGTCTTTCTGACATATTAAAGATGGGAAAGGAACTCCTACTGTATACTAGACACCAGCCAGGTGCTTTATATAAGCAAATTCAGCCTTCCCGGGAACCTCTGGTTTTACAAAATGTGGAATAAAACTATCTTCTAGGGCAAGATTTTAAGGTAAAGTAAGATTACACAGAGGCAGATTTGAAACTGGAACTTAGGTCATATTTGATGCCAAAGCCCCCATTTTTCTCTTTCTAGGCAAGGCTTAGTTAGGAGTCACGTACTATGGAACAGGAAGAGAAATTATGGGGTATGTGTGTGTGTGTGTGTGTGTTTCAGTAAAGTCAATAAACTGCATCAAGTCAGTAAGTGTATTTGAAAGCTACAAACACTTGGGCATTTTTGGTTGCTTTTGGGTTATCCCATTGCCACTCCTTGCTGATAGCAGGATGGAAAGATAGATGTTACCTTTACTAATTTTGTAGTCTTCTGTTAAAAGGAAAAAAGGAAAATGCCTGGAGTTCCAAATGGAAATGTTTGCCACATAGAACAGGAACCACATGGGGGTCACAGTGGGCCAGAACTTCAGCGCACTGGGCGGTAAGTCCTGGGACATTTTACAGCAATGCTGCTTATTGGGTAGAAGTTATGTAAAGCAATGAGGCATCCTCTTTCTTTCAGCCTACTTCTCTGTAGTGGGAATTTATTGGCTGAAGAATGACATTTCAAATGGAACCACTGACTAGGAGTATTATGAATATATCAAATATCGTATTCATTCAAGTTTCTCAAATTACCTACCATGTTTTGTCTCACCTCTAGTCCTTCCTACCATTGTTCACTCTGATTTGAACACTCTTCCCTTTCCTCATCTCCTTGCTAACTCCTACCTATCCTTAGTCTCAGTTCTTGTGTTGCTTCCTTTGGAAAGCCTTCTAGGACTCTTTCTGGATGAGGTTAGATGTTCCTGCTATGTAATGTCACAGTATTGAGCTCTGACCTCCCTTCCCCACATTACAGCCTTTATCATACTTTATTATTATTGGTTGATCTATTGTCTTTTCTGCTAGACTGTTTGTTCCCAAAGAGCAGGGGCTCCATTATATTCCTAGGACCCAGCACAGTGCCCTGAACAGAGTAGGGTCTCAATATCTGCCAAATGAATGAAATGAATAAATACTTCTAGAATGATGTCTATTCTGTAGCATGGAATGGACTAGGTATGATAAATGTTGAGTGATCATTTTAGGTTAAGAAACTCCCTTAGAGTAGGAAGACAGGTACTATTTTAGGTGTGTGTGCCTCAGAATAGGCAATCTACTCTTCTAGGCCAACATTTTAAGGACAGATGTCCAAGGAGGAGGTAAGTGAGGGAAGCAGGTCCCCAGACTAGGAGGTTTTATTCCCTAGGTCAGAAGGTGGTAAACGAGAATGATATTTTGAGTTAGTGTGATATCCAGAGGTGTCCCCAGAGAAGGCTGAGACTATAGCTCTGTCTCTGTTAAGCTGTACTGTGTCTAAGAAGGTTCTGCTGGGTAGAGATTCTCAGGGCAGGACTCAGATTATGGAAAGCAGCTTTTATGTCCTCTAACCCCTTGCTTTCTTCTTTTCTGCCTCCTTGCTTGAGGTTGCTTTCCTTACTCTTCTATCCTCAGCACTCCACCCAGTGGAAACTCAGAGTTGTTTTGGAATTGTGGAAAGCATTTTATTTTTCCAATCTTGGAAATCCAGGGAGAAACCAGGAGAGGAGACAGAGAAACAGGAGAGAATGGCACTTGACTAGCAGTGTCCTGACGAGGAGCATGTTTTCTGGTAGGAAAAATGTGTTGGAGGGTAGGGGAAGATGGCTGTGCTCTGGGAGGGAGCATTGATGGAAAGAAGGAGTGCTTGCAATGGAAGGGCCACTGAAAAGAGGGAGCAGCCTTCCCTTTTTAAGAAACATTTTCTTTAAAGTTGGGAGAGGTCTCAATTGGGTGGGGAGGCCTGGTATTGAGAGGCAGTTCAAGGGAAGCATGTGTCCTCAGAAGGGGTTCCAGGATAGAGACTCTCCTAGAGGAGGTGGTAATTTTTTCAGGAAAAAGTTTTAAGTATGGATTTGATATTTCAAAATTATAATTTATCTTTTGGATATAAAGGGTATCCATAGTTTAGGAACTTAAGAGTTTGAAAGTAGTAGAATTTAGGGCAACAAGGTTTTCCTCAAACCAGTATCTGTGCAGAGGTGAGATTTTAGGTTGCTATTGGTGCCAAAGAAAACAAATGGATTAGCGTCCCAGGCTTTGTGAGAGGGGGTCACTTATAATCAATTCCACCTGAGGGTTTGGGAGACCATTATATTGGATCTCAACAGTTATAAGATCTTGGAAATGGCATCTGATGTCCCCAAGGAAATCCCATATTGCCAGGATCATATGCTTATTCGCAAACCGCAAGTATCTTAACTCACAAATTCAAATGGAGTTTGAAGGAGTTCTCCCATAATGTCATGTCAGGAACTTCTGGAATTGACAAAGCTAAAAGGAAGCTCTGGGCTCAGAGCTTAGCTCTGCTTCATATGGGAGATGCTTCCTCTTTCTGAGCTTCTGTCATTTTCCTTAGAGCCCTTAGTAAGGGGCCTCAAGCCATATGACCTTCCTCCCATTGTAGCCCCTTAGGCAAGGTGACATAATGGCTGCGAAGATCATATTTCCAGGCCGGCTCTGGGCTCTTTCTCAGTCTCAAATTATTTGGGAGGTAAATGTGAGCCTTTTTTTGCATGTGGACATCCTGTACGTTTCTGTACTTTCCTGGACTGCATATTAAAACCACATTAGCCTGGGTTTTATAATTTTTTGGACTATTAGTTGTGTTTCTTTGAGATGCAAAACTGCTTTATGCATGCCATGTTGCACAATCTTGGAGCAAAACTTGAATAACATCTTAGGGAATATTATCCTTGTTGGATGGAGAAGTATTTGAAGGCAGGGTGAAGTAGACTCTAAGAAGGTGGGAAAGAAGACAAAATTGAAATGGTACTGTGAGTTCTGTATGATCTGACCCTTCAAGCCAGGGTTAAGACAGATCTTAAACCTCCCTGATATTGACTAAGGCAGGGATGCCATAAGTAACAAAGAAGAAAGTATGACTAGAGTGTTCCTAGGCCACAAGCTCCACAGCAAGGAGGGTGCTCTGGAAAGGGTCTTTTCAGGGTAGATTTCTGTCCCTTATGGGAGATGCCACTTTTGGGAAGGGTTAATGGAAAAAAGAATCAGGAGCTGCTATCTGGATGATCCCCCCACACTTCAAACAGGTTTCTTCCAAAGTATACCAGACAAATGGATAGCTGGCCTGTTTCTAAAACCCTCCAGGGAAGGGTTCCTTAAGTCTATGCTCCAGAGCCTAGTGACCCTCTACACGGGTAAGTTCTTTATTGCATCAACCTTAAATTAAACTCATATCCCTGTGTGCCTCCTGCCCCAGAAAACTTGAATGTGAAGGACAGTGTTGAAAGGGAAAGGAAAGCCCAAGTACAGAAAGAAGCATCCATGCCTGATGAGTATCTGTTGTAGATGTGCAACCATAGTCTGATTTTATGCTTGAATGAGGTATGAGGCTGACTTCATAAAGTGTTCAGAAATTATTTTATTAATTTATAGTTATACCATCCATAAGAGCTCAGATCTTTCCCTGCCTTTTAATCACTGCTAGAGAGATAGATGTCTTCCCTTTTCATGGCTTCTCAGAAATCCATTTCACATAAATCTTTTGTCTGTTGCTCACAGACACTCCTCTCCTCCTGTGTCTAGGGGCTGAGTATTCATGGCAGCATCTCAGGTAGCCTCAGTGTGTGTGTGTGTGTGTGTGTGTATGTGTGTGTAGGGGGTCACTATTATACAGGGAGATTCTTCTCACAGAATTATGCTCTCCAGAGGAAGACGACTGGTAATGAAGAGGTGATAATCACATGATAATAAGACGCTATGTTAGCTAAGAACCCAGAAATACTTAAATCTTACCCCATCTAAATTACTGCTGCCTGCAAGGTATTGAGGGGCTATTTACCTAGAGGAGAAAGCAAGACAAAGTGACACTTTATTACTAACTGAAGCATTGGCCCCAAACCCTGAGGCCTCATGATTTAGGCTAGACCATGTATATAGCTCCTTTACCTGAGCTAGGTTTGTCAGATAGGCTAAAACTAAGGCAGATCACAAGACTGGCTTTGCTTCTCTTCCTTAAGCCCAGACCTAGATTATGATGTTACTGCTGTAAGTTGAGGAAAGGTGAACCCAACTATACCCACCAGAACCAGAGGAAAAGAGCAGGTGGGTAAGTGTCTGTCCTGTGTCCACCTGCACACCCATTGTACTAGCTAGATGAGAGAGAGTGTTCCAGGAGAAAGGGCTGGCTGGATCTTCTCCCCTGGCATACAGATCCCAGGCCTCCTCATACTCCTCCAGTCTTCTAGGTGAGAGAAGGAAAGAGAGCTCACCAAGTCTCCTTCCATAAGAGAGTAGCTTGTGTGCTTTTTTAAAGATAGCTTTTTGTTATAGAAAATTTCAAACATAAAGAAGGAATAGTTTAATGATCCCCCAGGTACCCATCAACTATTACCAACATTTTGCCAATCTTGTTTCATGTTTCTTCCCAGTTAATTTTATTTTTATGTTTTCTAGATTATTTTAAACCAAATCACCGACATTTTACCTGTAAATGCTTCAGTATGCATCTCTTTGATTAGGACATTACAAAAATTATCATGCCATTATCAAACTAACAAAATTAGCAATCATTCTGTACATTGTCTAGTGCTCCATTCTTATTAAACCTTTCTATGATTGTGTTAGCAACATCTTTTTTAGAGTTCATTTGTTTGACATAGGAGTCAATCAAAGTTTGCATTTGGTTATTATGCTCCCATTTTGTAATAGTCCCTCTTCCTTTTTTTCTATGCCATTGATTGGTAGAAGAAACCAGGTGATTTGTGCTATAATATGCTGAGTGGCTGTTTTTGTTATTCACCTGACAGCCCTCCCCCTGGTGCAGTTACTCCACTCTTAGAAAAAGTGATTGAATTGGGAACACATCTCCTCCTTAGTGTGGGATATCTTGGTCTTGGTCTGTCTCATCTTTGAGAAGAGGAGAAGGGCGCTGAAGTCCTGCCACCAAGTCCTGTTGATTTTACCTCCTGATTAGCTCTTGAATCCATCCACTTCTCATCCTAATCTATGTTCCATTCATCATACTACCACAGAGTGGTCCTTCCAGAATGTATGTTTGATTATGTCACTCCTCTGTTTATAGTTCTTCAGTAACTTGACATGCTATTAGGATAAAGTTTTAATTCCTTAAAACCATTTCTGGCAGGTGCGGTGGCTCACACCTGTAATCCCAGCACTTTGGGAGGCCGAGGCGGGCGGATCACAAGGTCAGGAGGTTGAGACCATCCTGGCTAACACAGTGAAACCCCGTCTCTACTAAAAATACAGAAAAATTAGCCGGGCATGGTGGTGGGCGCCCATAGTCCCAGCTACTCAGGAGACTGAGGCAGGAGAATGGTGTGAACCTGGGAGGTGGAGCTTGCAGTGAGCTGAGATTGCACCACTGCAATCCAGCCTGGGCGACAGAGCGAGACTCTGTCTCAAAAAAAATAATAATAATAATAAATAAAACCATTTTTAAGGCCTTTTTGGCTTAGCTTCTCCAGCCTTGTCTATTGGCATTCACCCTTCGCACTGTATTATCCACTCACATCTCTCAGCACCTTGATCCACCAAGCACTCTCACCTTTAAGTGTCACCCATGTTGGTCCCTCTGCCTCATCTGCTTAACTCCCAGTCCCTCCCTGAAGTCATGGCTGAAATGCCCCTCCCTGCTCTATGCCACCATAGCACCCTCACAATACTGCCTGTCTCCTGCACTAGACTTGGTCCTGAAGAGCAAGGCTGTTCATGTCTTGCTCATTGCTGCATCTCCAGTACCTGGCACAGTGCTTGGCACCAAGTATCTGCTGCTACTTGTCAATTGCATGAATGAATTATTATACACATTTGTCACAAGTAAGGGGGGTAGTTGTTCAGAGTAAGAAAGTGCATGTGATAGGGGCTTTTTATCTAGAAAACATTTAATAAAACTAGCAATTTTAATATCTTAAGTTGGTTTTGCACATTTCCTCCTAACAGCTCAGAATTTAAAGTCTGAAGCTAATACTTGCTTTCATGTTAATTTTTTTGAACTTTTTATTGAATGGATAATATGCATATCTAAATTAATTCTTTGTATGTTTAGGGTATTCATTTAAATATACCATAAGTCATACCCTTGGTTGCAAAGAGACTCTGTGCTGACCAGAGAGAGATATCTGTACTGGAGTCAAACTGAAGCCAAAGTCTTACCTCAAAACAGAGCACATTTGAAATGCTTTCAAATGTGTGCTGTTTACATGCTTTTAGGGAAGAGGGACTGTGTTAGAGGCCTGTCTATTGTGTTTCCACAGGCTATTTGGGGGCTTGGTGCTGGACATCAAGCGGAAGGCCCCCTGGTACTGGAGTGACTACCGGGATGCACTCAGCTTACAGTGTTTGGCCTCCTTTCTGTTCCTGTACTGTGCCTGCATGTCACCTGTCATCACCTTTGGGGGATTGCTTGGAGAAGCCACTGAGGGACGCATAGTAAGGACTTTTAACCACTTCTAATGGTCCCAAACAAGACCTAAAATATTGTGGCGGCGGCCAAGTCCACTGTGGGGGAAATTACCTGGTCTAGGACTGAAGATTTTTCCTCTGAATTACCATGGTCTTCTGACATCATGCCAAAGAGCAACACAGTCCTCTCTTTAGAACAGACTCTTCTGCTTGAGCATCGGCTTCAGTAGCTGGTTGCCTAGTTGAATTTTCTATTGCCTCAGTGATGGAAATTGGATATATTGATGCCATTTTAAAATAAGATTTAAAGTGACTCTATATGTGAGCTTGTAGTGTGAATGGTATCACTGTGCTTTCTATATATTTTCAAATACTGAATTGAGTCACTGAAGAATAGGAGTTAGTTAAGGAATCATGTGTCAATGGACCTGGGCACCTGAATTATTAAAGTAGTATCTGTTTATAGGAGTATTAGATGGTGTGTGCACATCACTCTTGCTAAGATGAAATACAAGCAAATGGCCATCAAGGCACACAGGAGAGCAAAGTCAGGAATGTAGCTAAGCCAACATTACTCTGTACTGATGGGCTATGGACTCAGTGATGGCTTTTTTTCCTCTCAGAGTGCAATTGAATCCTTGTTTGGAGCCTCCATGACTGGGATTGCTTATTCCTTGTTTGCGGGACAGGCTCTCACCATCCTGGGAAGTACTGGGCCAGTGCTTGTGTTTGAAAAGATTTTGTTCAAATTCTGCAAGTAAGACATTTGTTTTTCTGAAAACCCTAACCAGATTTAGTAATTATGTTGCCAGGATTAAATGTTGCCAGGATTAAAACTCAGTACAGACAGACAATATCATCTGGATTGGAAGAAACCTGAAAGGAGACCATAATTTGGTCTGTTGTCCTGCCCCCAGGTAGCACCATACCTAAAATAGCAGATCTCCTGTTCTTTTTTTTTTTTTTTTTTTTTAGAGACGGAGTCTCGCTCGGTCGCCCAGGCTGGAGTGCAGTGGCGCAATCTCAGTTCACTGCAAGCTCCGCCTCTTCGGGTTCACGCCATTCTCCTGCCTCAGCCTCCCGAGTAGCTGGGACTATGGGCGCCCGCCACCACGCCCAGCTAATTTTTTTTTCAGTAGAGACGGGATTTCACTGTGTTAGCCAAGATGGTCTCGATCTCCTGACCTTGTGATCTGCCCGCCTTGGCCTCCCAAAGTGCTGGGATTACAGGCGTGAGCCACCGCGCCCGGCCTCAGATCTCCTATTCTTAATGAGCTTGATTAATATTCCTCAGCCATTATTGACGTCTTGACATTTTATGTTTAAAAAGACTTTCCCTAGCTAATTCAAACTTCTCCATTTCCATTGTGAGTTAGTTTTTAATTTGGCCTCATATCCTCCCGCCTTTTTTTTTTTTTTTTGCTACTGGTAGTGGGGCACACGAGTGCTGTGGTTTCCCAACTTTTCCTATATAATATTTTCTTTTTTCCTTTTATATTTCAAGTAGCAGCTCATGGGACTAGGGCCAGCCCCCCTTTTTTTTAACTGCAAGAATAAGATCATAATTACATTAGGTAGTAATGGCAGGAATGTATATGAGACAATTTCTTTTTTCAGTTTTCATATCCTTGCCCATATCCTGTGAGGCAAATCTGTATTATAACTGTGCCAGAGCATTATTTAGAATTAAAATACAGTCAGAATTAGGGATATACTGGGTTCCAGTGCTGGTTTAGATGAGATGAATTAACCACATTTCTGACTCCTTGTCTCTTAATGCCATCCATCCGTGCTTTCTGATGAACTTTGGTCTTGTTTCAGAGACTATGCTCTTTCATACCTCTCCCTGCGAGCTTGTATTGGACTGTGGACCGCTTTCCTGTGTATTGTCCTTGTGGCAACTGATGCCAGTTCCCTTGTCTGCTACATTACCCGTTTCACTGAAGAAGCATTTGCCTCCCTAATTTGCATTATTTTCATCTATGAAGCAATAGAAAAACTGATTCACCTGGCAGAGACCTACCCCATCCACATGCACAGCCAGCTGGACCACCTTAGCCTCTATTAGTAAGTGTGCTTTCTGCTTATTTTTAAAAATTGAGCAAAGGGCCTGAGTTTAATTGCTGATGTAGAGTGCTAGGCAGTGCTTACAGCTTCTGGTCAAGAAGTGTCTTGCCCTTTGGGAAATGGATCTCAGATACGGACAAGGAGTATTGGAGGGCTGTCAGAGGAGAACAATCAAAAGTGTTGACAGAGAAGATCGACTAGAAGTCACACAGAGGGGACTCAAGAAATGCTTTCCAGACCATGTCTTTTGGTTCTAGGCACTGAAACAAAAATGGGCTGCAAATGTAACAGGGAGAATTTGAGTTAGTTATGGGGAGGAACTTCTTTTTGCAAGGACTTGTGAACCTCTGGACTATGTTATCAAGTGAGAGAATGGACTCTCTCCTTTGTTGAAATGAAGGACTCTCTTTCTCTGAAAGTATGTACAGGCAACTCTTAGGGATTATTAGGTGAAGATATATTAATCATTCCTTTCAGATCCAGAAGTGTCTCACACTGTATCATAAAGATCCAGAAGCCTACTTACTTCCTAGATTTCAACTCAAGAAATTATGATTTCTTTATGTGTTCAATATGGTTTGGATCACTTGGAAAAGAAACACGGTATCTGGCTGTGTTTTCAACCATCTAGGACACTCTGGTCCTATAAACATTTCTTCTCTGTAATAGTATTCTCCAAATTATGACTAAAGATCCTCTTCCCTTAGCTCTGTACATCAAGTTCTGGCTGTACAGTTCTGATGTGGAGGATCTGGTTGTGAAATGCACAACTTCAGTCTGAAACTATCTCAGAAGAGAGAGTACACTGTCTGGAGGCATCTGGGAACAAGCCGCAGATACACTTTCATCTATTCTAGTTATTCACTCATTAACCTTTTAAAAATCAGAATTAATAAAAAATTTACAAGAACTTTATTTTATTAGAAAGTAACAATGATTACGGAGTATCATCTTCAAAGCCTAGTGAATTGGCTCCTATTGGCATTAGAGTTCTCATTTCTGTAAGGTTCATTCTTTGACCTCTTTTTATCATTATTTTCTTTGTTTAACAAATATTTATTGAGCACTTATTATGTACCAAGCACTGTTTTAGGCCTTGGAAACATAGTGGCAAACATGACAAAGGATCTGTCTTTATGAGGCTTATATCTGAGAAGACAGGCAAATTGACCAGCCCTGGATTGAGTAGACTTTGGTTCCAGAAACAAATTCTTTGTTAATAAAGCTCAAGATGGTATTTTTTTAAGTCGCATTCTACTGTTAATTCATATGGCGCTGATGTGAAGCTAGAGCTCCTCAACTCTTTAAATGATTTTATGTTAATATGTATGGAATTGATTTTTTAAAAATGGTTTATTTTTTAAAGCAGTTTTAGGTTCACAGCAAAGTTGAACAGCAGGTACAGAGAGTTTGCATATACCCCCTACCCCAGCACAGGCACAGTCTTCCCCAGTATCAATATCCCACACCAGAGTGGTAAGTTTGTTACAATCAGTGAACCTAAACAGACATATCATTGCCACCCAAAGTCCATAGGTTACATTAGGGTTGACTCTTGGTGTTGTGCATTCTGTGAATTTTGACAAATGTATAATGACATGTATCCTCCATTATAATATCATACAGAATACTTTCACTTCCTTAAAAATCTTCTGTGCTCTGCCAGTTGCTCTCCCCCTCCCCCCAACTCCTAACAACCACTGACCTTTTTATGTCCTTATAGTTTTGAATTTTCCAAAATGTCATAGTTGGAATCATACAGTACGTGGCATTTTCAGATTGGCTTCTTTCACTTTGTAATATGCATTTAAGGTCCTCTGTTTTTCATGACTTGATGGTTCATTTCTTCTTAGTACTGAATAATACTTCATTATCTAGATGTACCACAGTTTATTTGTTTTGAATTGATTTTTTAAACCTAAGTATAGGGCTTTATAGCTTTCCCTGTTACTTTTCATTTTGTCGATTTCTTCCTATTATTCTAACCTGTTGAGAGCTTTTTGAATTTTAATTCAGTCATGCTATATCTTAGAAGGCATGTTTATTAAATTCACAGATCATACGAAGTTAGTAGGGATGGCTGTGTCAGTTGACCATATTGGGAGCCAGGTTGTGCATGAAGCATGCTAGGACTGAGAGGCAACAAACATGGTGGCCGATGGCACCGGTGTGGTCTGGTCTGGTCTGGTTTGGCTGGAGTAGGAGGCCTGGGGAAGCTAATGGAGCTTCTAGGTCTGGCTCCACCATGAGTGACCAGGGAATGGCCAAGGTAGTGGGATATTACCAAAGATAACTCAGTGTCAGGAAGTGCTTACGTCACAATTCCAGGAGACTCTGACTTCTAGAACAAGAGCATGATGAAGGGTATAGAGAATAAGATATTCAGGCTTGGAGGAAGTTGTTGAGAAGTAAATAGGATATTGAGACCACCTTGCTATGCAGATTAAATTTCTTAGCAAAAGCCTAAGAGATAGAAATCAGGCCAAAAAAAAAAAAAATTCAGGACTCATTCTGGGCATACCAGATGACAAATGTAGTTGTCGGCACAGTTTAATCCAAGATCCATGGGCTGATTTGAGTCCAACTTTAGTAATGACCAACTGAAAAATTAGAGTGTGATGGGGCTTATAGAGGGGCCTCAACTACTTAGGTCTGAAGTATGCAAAGAAGCAGCAAGGCAGCTCCTGACAGCCTTTAAACCAGTTGTTCTAAAAACATTTAACTGAGTATTTGGCTGTTTTCCTCAGGAATCTTTTTAATTTTTCCCCTCAGCTGCAGGTGTACTCTCCCAGAGAATCCGAACAATCACACCCTCCAGTACTGGAAGGACCACAACATCGTGACAGCAGAAGTCCACTGGGCTAACCTGACTGTCAGTGTAAGTTTTGGAGCTGTCAGATGTCCTAGCATTATGACCACAGGTTGAGGAGGGACTTCTAAGTGAAAGGGAGGAGTGGCCCTTTGGCAAACTCTGGCATTTACCGAAATCAAGCTTTTTTAAAAAAAATTCTTACTCATTTTCTTTTATCCTTTCAGAAGTTTTCTTGTACGTAAAAGGAGAAGATTACCCTTCTCTTTTCTCCCCCCGTATCCTACCTAGTGACCCTGAACTAAGGGTAGGTGGGGATGAAACCATGCAGGACAGGGGGCAGATCCAGACATGTCAGGTTGAAGAGTATTCAAGTTTGGAGGTCCTCTGTGATAAGAACAATACAAGTTGCCAGGGTCCTTCCAGAGCCTTGGAAGTAGTATTTGTTCAGAACACTTCTGGTTCTATGTCTTAGGACCATAAGTAGCCACCCTACTTGAAAGTGGCCTGTGCAAGAGAGGACCCCGCAACTGCATAAAGGTCAAGGGGATGCTGCTTGCAGCCTCTGCTCCCAGCAACCATGGATGACAATGAGTGGTGGACTCAGAAGGAAACAGCTATTTATTCGGTTGTGTCTGCCTTTCATCACCCGGAATGCTTGTTCCTCCAGGAATGCCAGGAGATGCATGGAGAGTTCATGGGATCTGCGTGTGGCCATCATGGACCCTACACTCCTGATGTCCTCTTTTGGTCCTGTATTCTCTTCTTCACCACCTTCATCCTCTCAAGCACCTTAAAGACGTTTAAGACGAGCCGTTATTTCCCAACCCGAGTAGGTAGCATGTTCATGCATTTCTTTCATGTTAGAATCAAATATAACAGAACCTTTTCTCAGCCTCTATGCTGCATGGGGTTGATTGGCCGGGTGGAGAACTCCAGATGTCCTGATGAGCCACACTGGCATTCTCTCCTAGTGTCTGGCAGCCTCTTTCGTAGATCTGTGGTTGGGAATGAAGGGTTAATACTTAAAATCTTTTTGGTCTACAAGTGCCAGTTAAGGTTAAGGTGATAGTGATGGTTTTTAAAAAGTTATTAAGTCTTATTTCCAGAATGCTGTTATGTTTCATTTCCAGAATTCTGAGACACTTAACACACAATAGCTACAGCTGGCTCCTGAATACAGTAAATTGTGGTTGTGACCTTGGATACTTTAGGGGACCCAAAAATCTTCTCCCAGGGATGGCTTTTTAAATAGCTTATGAAATCACTGACGACAATGACTGCAGCAACCAGCATGCTCCTGACTTGGTTTGTATTACTGTTTGAAACCTCAGCAACCTTTCCATGATGCAGATAGCATTGTTTGTATTATGAACAAGGCTTTTGCCAGTTTTGGCAGGGCAAGATTAGAGGCTGAGTGTGGAGTAGCTACGTGGGCCGTTTCTTTGAAAGGGAACTTGAGAAGGTGGAGAATGGCTACTGGGACCTCCTCACAGAAAGTTAACAATGAAAAGAATAAGTGCATGAATTATTTACATCCTTCAGTCACATGGAAACATCTATAATAAATGACCATTACATTTGCCATATCAAAAATATAAAAGGAAGATGGGTGATCTACAGTGACCACAAAGTTTGTGCCACAGAAAGGCCCCCTAAAGGCCTGGATTACATGTACTTTTACCACAGTATACCAAGCTAAACCTCAAACATACGAATCAGTGAGAAGAAGCCACATACCTTTTTAATTTGCCAAAAAGTTAGAACAGTCAGATATGAAGAAATACATTGGGTATTTGTAGTTTATTTAAAGAACAAAATCATGCTGGGTGTGGTGGCTCATACCTGTAATTCCAGCACTTTGGGAGGCCCACGCGGGTGGATCACCTGAGGTCAGGAGTTTGAGACCAGCCTGGCCAACATGTTGAAACCCCATCTCTACTAAAAAAAACAAAAGTTAGCTGGGCATGGTAGCACACACCTGTAATCCCAGCTACTCGGGAGGCTGAGGCATGAGAATCACTTGAACCTGGGAGGTGGAGGTTGTAGTGAGCTGAGATTGTACCACTGCACTCCAGCCTTTGCGACAGAGTGAGATTCTCTCTCAAAAATAAAGTTAAAAAAAAAAAAAAAGAGCACAATCATTTGATGCCTTCTGAAATAGAACTGAGAAGAAATTTGTATTAGTGATGATACACTATTGTAGATAGTTTTAATAAATGTTTAAGGAGAAGATAATATTAAAAAGGGTGTTCATTTTGCTGGCAAGAGATCTACCATCAGTACATCAAAAATGGGGATGTGCTCCCAGTCCTCTATTGGGGGATGGGTGGTAGTGGCCTTCAGAGAAACCTATTTATGTGGCCAGTGGTCTTGCCTTACCTGCAGTAAATGAAAAACCTTCTTGGTGTTTCATATAGAAAATCAGCTATTGGGCGGAGCATTATTTATGGCATTTTTTTTCATTGCACACAATAATTTCTGACCTATACATGTATAATACAGCATTTTCTTTTCTTCTTTTTTCTTTCTTTTTTTTTTTTTTTTTTGAGACAGAGTCTCACTCTGTTGCCGAGGCTGGAGTGCAATGGTGCAATCTTGGCTCACTGCAACCTCTGCCTCCCGGGTTCAAGTGATTCTCCTGCCTCAGTCTCCCAAGCAGCTGGGATTACAGGCATGTACCATGCCTGGCTGATTTTGTATTTTTAGTAGAGACGGGGTTTTTCCATGTTGGTTAGGCTGGTCTTGAACTCCCAACCTCAGGTGATCCGCCTGCCTCAGCCTCCCAAAGTGCTGGGATTATAGGGTGAGCCACCATGCCCAGCCAATACAACATTTTAAATAAAAGATATTTTTAATTTAAATCATACAAAAATTCATAATATGAGTTTGTGAATGTGTATGATAGTGTGAGACCAACTGTAAAGGTTTGCTTTTTGGTTTTTAAAGGCTAAGCAGTTGGTATTAAGCAAGTACATATTTTAATGAAACTGTAACTCAGGAACAGTTTAAAATATTAGTTTCCCACTTATATTTCAAAGCGTAAAAAGGGCCGAATTATCCCTTTAAGTGCTGCCAAGAATTCACTTGGGTTTGTGATATTTGGTGGTACAATGCCAGATGCCCACAGCAGCATAATACTGTACTTTGCTAAAGGTAGACAGATGAATTCTCTATTTCTCAGCAGTCATTTCCCCAAAAAGTATAATGTTTGTTTTTAGTTAAAATAGTATTGTTTTACCGTACCACATGATGACTCCCTGCAAGTTGTCATGCGAAGTGCCCCAAATTTGTATTTTCTCATTTCTGAGCTCTTTGCCTGCCTCCATTTCTACATTTTTCAGGGGCCAGAGGCTCATCTCTGCAATTTTTCCATGTATCGCCTCCTGATTTGACTTCACTGCTTATCTGCTGTGACTAGCAGTGTGATTTTGGACACTTTGAATTTCAGATGTGGCCAGGCACGGTGGCTCACATCTGTAATCCCAGCACTTTAAGAGAGGCTGAGGCAGGCGGATCACCGGAGGTCAGGAGTTCGAGACCAGCCTGGCTAACATGGCAAAACCCTTTCTCTACTAAAAATCCAAAAATTAGCTGGGCGTGGTGCCAGGTGCCTGTAATCCCAGCTACTTGGGAGGCTGAGGCAGGAGAAGCACCTGAACCCGGGAGGCGGAGGTTGCAGTGAGCCAAGATCACCCTACTGCACTCCAGCCTGGGCAACAGAGCGAGACTCCGTCTCAAAAAAAAAAAAAAAAAAAAAAGAATTTCAGATGCAAAGAAACTTTATGTGATGTTATAAAAGACAATTCTTTCCATTTTGGTTATTTCAGTATTTTAGTTGTAACCTGGGATTAAATTAGAGTTTCAAATGTGATGAAAAGTAGAACGATAGCATTCTATAATTTTCCTACTGCTCTGCACCAAATTCCAGAGTCTCTGGAGTTTCTACTTCAAATTATTCAGTCGAATGAAACAGGATTTATTGCTGTTTGCTTAACATATATTTGGTTGAAAGGATTTTTCCAGAAACTGTAGGAAAATAAAGCAGAATCAACTGGGTGAAATATAGCACAAACATTGGATTAGGATGTGGTGAGTTGTGAACAATCAGGATTCTGGTTATGACTGGGGCCCCTGTCTCATAGGAGCTTAATACCATGTGAGCCAGGAATGCAGTGTCCAAGGCCCATGGCCTGGAGACCTGGATGCTGGCTGTGGACCTTGGGCAAGTCCCTCATCCTCTCTGTGCCTCACCTCATCTGCACAATGTTGTGATGACACCTGCCGTCTCTTTCCAATTATGCTTCAAGGATACAGTGAGATCTAATATGATGAACCAAGAGTATAAGGTGGTGTGCTATGGTGGGTCCTAGTTTAGCATGGTGTGCTATGGTGGGTCCTAGTTTAGCATGCTCCCTGCCTTTTCCTCTCTGACATTTTCTTCAATTTGGGAACAGATGGGATTGGCAGAAGGAGGGGAGCTCATGGTGTAGTAATACTCTACTCAAGTATGCCTACTGGTGTTACCTTCTAATGTTGAGTTAGATTTCCTAAAGCAGCCCACTTTGTTACTGAAGTTGCTGACTCCTGTGAAAATCCCCATACTAAGCAGCCTTACAAAATCCAGTCCCCATAGAATAGTGACTCCACACAGGCATCAAAAATGGATTGTCTTCGATTATGTTACAAAGCAAAGGCCTTTTTGGGGGATGGAGGATGATTGGGTGTTTGGATTGAAATGTAGACAAAGGGGCTGGGTGCAGTGGCTCATGGCTATAATCCCAGCACTTTGGGAGGCCAAGGTGGGTGGATTGCTTGAAGTCTGGAGTTCAAGACCAGTCTGGCCAACATGGTGAAACCCTATCTCTACTAAAAATACAAAAATTAGCCGGGCATGGTGGTGCATGACTGTAATCCCAGCTACTGGGTTGAGGCACGAGAATCGCTTGAGCCCAGGAGGTGGAGGTTGCAGTGATCTGAGATCGTGCCACTGCACTCCAGCCTGGGTGACAGAGTGAGACTCGGTCTCAAAAAAAAAAAAAAAAAAAGTGGACAAAGATAGCTAGCATGTGTATTTTGAGCAAAATACAAATTTTATAATAAAATTTTATAAATAAACTTTGTAAAATCAATGGTATAAAATCAATATTTAAGATTATAGCTTATCTGTTACTTAATTTCATTAAATAGAAAAAGAAATTCAGCCCTTCTGATGCCTAAACATATTGTAGGAAAGTGTACTATGGCTGCCCTTTTTTCTGCCTCACAAAACAGAGGGCTGTTTCTACAAGGCCAAGTTTTGTATAAATGCAATTCTTTTTTTTTTTGAGATGGAGTCTTGCTCTGTCGCCTGGCTGGAGTGTGGTGGTGTGATCTCACTGCAACCTCTGCCTCCTCCCGAGTAGCTGGGACTACAGGCACGCACCACCACACCCAGCTAATTTTTGTATTTTTAGTAGAGATGGGGTTTCACCATGTTGGCCAGGATGGTCTCGATCTCTTGACCTCGTGATCTGCCTGCCTTGGCCTCCCAAAGTGCTGGGATTACAAGCATGAGCCCGGCCAAGTGCTATTCTTTATTTCAGATTGAGAGTTGGGAAAAACTGGAGCAAATAATGGGTTTCTTTCTTGCTTAAAAATGTATTTATATATATGTCTTAATATATACAAGGCAGTTTCCCCTGGAATAAAAGTCTAGAATGTACTGCTTAATTTTACACGTGTGCAGACAATACTATCTGTGAGTGAAAAGTGGATTAATACGTGGATTGGGTCAACTGATTATTAGCATGTTAGGAGTCCTCCGTGTGAGACATGGTGGTATAAATGTGAAGTTCTCACTGTATGCAGATGTTCATGTGAAAGATAGTACTTTCTTCCTGTAAATATCTTTTGATTTCCATTTGTATGGAATCCCAATGAACATATCTTTGGAACACATAATGTGTCAAAATTTGTATTTTGTTCATTGATCTAAATGCCCATGTAACTAATCAGAAATCCAATTTGGCTCAGATTGGGAATTTTCTTTTAAAGGAAGAAAAAATACAGAAAAGACTACTGGAAGAATCATGTTCAAATGACATTTTACATCAATGTTTCTTCAATATTTTGGAGTTGACTTGGTTGTTTTCTCCTACCTACGATAGAATGTGCCTGCTGTTTCTCTGTCTCTCACTTTGGGCTGAGCCTCTTGCTCCCTGTATAATTTATTTGCTTTACCTGAACTGCCTTACCTGCAGTTCATAGTGAGAACACCTGGGGGTTGTACTCTGACTCCACCTTTAAGTCTGATAGGGCCAAGTTGCTTTACTTCTCTGGGCATTTTTCTTTAGAATGAATGGGTTAAACTAGATGAGCTCCGAAGTCCCTTCCTGCCCTAACATTCTCTTCTATTTTTATTTTCCTGTGGTTACTACTGTTAGGGTCAGACATGTGAAATGTGAGGGACCATTTAGAGATTTAGATGTTATATTTTTTTATTATTACAGAGTGTATGCCCAAGTTTAGGACCTGTGTCATTTTTAGTGTCCCCACCCCATTTCTATTTCTGCTCTACTTGTCTTTACTTTCTTTGTAATCATCTCATTTTCTTTCCACTCTTGAAACTCACAACTTTCCAGTCCATGAGCTAGTTTGTTACCATCCCCCTCAAAAACAAATCTATTTAAAACACCCTCCTAGAAAAGCCTCCGAACCACCTTCAGCTAAATTTGTAACATTTATAGAATATTTTAAAATTTTAATTCAACTAGAGTTATGATCCCCAAACAAGTCCTGATGAAGCTATCACAGAAAGGATGTCTTTTTCACCTTGTAGGTATCATTGTTGCTAAATTACATCAGTACAGGCCTTCTGTGGGGAGACAGCAGGGAGCAGGGGCAGGACCAGGGGATGGGAGTAGATACAATTGTGATTCTATCCTTTCCTTTAGGTAAAAAATCCTAGGTTATAAAACAAGGTTCAGGGCCAAGCAGAGTGGCCCACACCTGTAATCCCAGCACTTTGGGAAGTTGAGGCGGGCAGATCGCTTGAGCCCAGGAATTTGAGACCAGCCTGGGCAACATGGCACAACCCTATCTCTACCAAGTACAAAAAAAAAAAAAAAAAAAGAAAATTAGCCAGGCATGGTGGTGTGCGTGTATAGTCCCAGTTACTCAGGAAGGCTGAGGTGAAAGGATCACTTGAGGCCAGGGAGGTCAAAGCTGCAGTGAGCTGTGATGACACAGTGAGTTATTGCACCCCAGCCTGGGCAACAGAGAGACACCTGTCTCAAAAAAAAAAACAAAAAAAACCCCAAAGTTCTGCACTCTTAGATTAGTAATATAAGATGACCTGCACGGTGTCAGAGAGATTTCCCACTCAGTAAATCACTCTGAAAGAGTTTGCATAAGATTCTGTAGACTTGCGGTATTTAATGTGGGTAGTCAATAGCTACATGTGGCAAATGGCCACTTGAACTTAGGCTTGCCAAATTGAGACTGTACTGTACACATAAAATATATACCAGATCTTGAAGGATTGGTACCAAAAAAGAATATAAAACGTTTCATCAATATTTTATATTGATTACATACTGAAATGACAATATTTTAGATATATCTATTAAATAAAATGATAATTTGATAAATATTATAGTTATTTTCACTTATTTTTATATTTTTTATGTGACTGCTAAACAATTTAAAATTAGACATATGGCTAACATACTTTTTTTTTTGAGACGGAGTCTCACTCTGTCACCCAGGCTGGAGTACAGTGGCACAATCTCGGCTCACTCCAACCTCTACCTCCTTGGGTTCAAGTGATTCTCCTGCCTCAGCCTCCGTGTAGCTGGGATTACAAGTGTGCACCACCATGCCTGGCTAATTTTTGTATTTTTAATAGTGACAGGGTTTCACCGTGTTGGCCAGGCTGGTCTTGAACTCCTGACCTCAAGTGATCCACCCACCTCAGCCTCCCAAAGTGCTGGGATTATAGGCGTGAGCCACCGTGCCTGGCCTGGCTAATGTAATTCTACTGGACATGCTACTCTACACTTACATGGTATGGGGTAGGCAGTGAAATACCATAGGTAGAAGGTAATTCAGTGAAGCATCCAAATAGACAGAAACAACACAAATATTTTTGCTGGAGGCGGCAGCACTGTGTGGCACAGAACACCTCCCAGAAAGCAGAAAATTTTTCTGCCTGAAAACCAATGTATGTGTGAGACCCCAATTAAAAACAAAAGCAAATAAGGCCCAAACTGTCTTCCCTCAGCTTTGCCTGGGAGCTGCTACCTTTGCACTTATTTTTCTAGCATCTTCTAGGTGCCAAGGATATTAGCCACATGAGGGAGACGAGCATATGTGTTTCATTTTAGGCATCATTCTTTTGTGGTTCCCCCTACCCCAGGTATTGTTGAGTCTGTCCAAAGCTGGGTGAAATACCATGCAAGTCTTGCTGCTCTCAGTATGCTGCTTCTCTCGGCCTTGGTGGAGGCTGAGCCTGTTGCTGGTACCCACCAGCCCAGTAGGTTTTAATGCTGCTTCCTGAAAGAGATTGTATTTGTTCCGTTTTTCACTAGTCACAGTTGTTGTTTAAACTACATCCAATTTGGGGGAAGAATACTTGCCTCTGATGGAAAGAGAGATAGGGGATTTATTGCTTCAAGTGTTTTAAATTAAAGCTATTCTCACAAAAAAAAAAAAAAAAAAAAGAGAGAGAAAAAGAAAAGAAAGGGAACTCAAATCAGGAGGAAATGGTGGTTTTTCCTGTAAGTGAGGTTTCAGCCAGGCACATTTTCAATACAGGGTACATAAATGGGAGGAGGACTCAGTTAATTAGATATTTTGTGTACAACCATATATGACTAGAACACAGACTTCCGTGAGCCTACATGGCAGTCATGAGAGGTACATATTAAATAAGTTCTGGGTCTTTGTTTCCTATTAGGACAAATAGTTAACAAGTGGCTATTCTGTACTGACTACTTGCTCAGGCCTGGGTGAAGTGCTAGGGGGATGCAACAGAAATTTAGAAGATAGTATCTGTCATCAGATAGGAAAGAAAAACACATGAAACAATCAGGTGCCATATGCGACAGTAGTAAACAGTTGGATGCCCAACTGAGATGTATGTGCTGTAGGAGTTCAGAAGAGAAAAGGGCCACTGGGCCCCAGGATGGTCAAGTGGGCTTCATGTTGGGGATGGGGAGGCAGTGGATACTCAGAGAATTTATATTACATTCAGAGAAGAACTAACAAAACCATGGAGGAGGAACTGGAAACCTTGGGCTTCAAACCAAAGTGAAGTCAGGCTAAGGTACCAGTGATATTACGTGTGGCTAAGATATATTTTGCTCTCACTCTTTTGGAAACTTAGATTAAGGCAGGCACAGGTCATTTGCCAGGCACTGTATTTTATTAAAGCCACACTATAAAGTGAGGCAGTCCTTTTAAGATGGATCCTAAATTGGATGGGAATCTCCAACAAAATAGAGATATGTGCCATGGTGGAAAATAAAGCAGTAAAGAAGTACAGGAAGTTCTGTGGGGAGGGAGGTGGCTGATTTTAAGTAGGATCATCACAGAAGAGCTCAAGGAGGTGATATTTGAGTTGAACCTAAAAGACGTGAGGGAGCTACCCAAGAGGTTACCTGGAGGAAAGGCATTTTAGGTAGAGGCATGAGCAAGTACAAAGACCCCGAGGTGGGAGTGAGCCTGGCATGTTTAAGGAAACAGCAAGGTGGTCTGTGTGTCTGGAGCAGAGTGGGCAAGCACGAGAGCAATAGGAGCTGAGGTGGGAGATGTGACAATGCCAGTTGTGTGGCCCTCAGGCCAAGAAGGCTTTTTGGCCCAGAAGCCATTTCAGGGTTTTGATAGAGGAGTGACATGACCCAACTTATGTTTCAAATGATTACTCCAGTGGCTGCATTTAAAAAACACTGGAGGGCAAAGGCAGAAGCAAGTCAGGAGGCTGCTACCATTACCCAAACAGGAGCTGATGGTGACTTGGATCTGGGTGGGAGCAGTGGCGGTGGTAAGAAGCGATCAGACTTGGGATATGTTCTGAAGGGAGAGCCAATAGGACTTGCAAATAGACTGGATATTGGGTATGAGGGAGAAGTGGAGTTGATGCTGCTGCTGAGGTTTTTGGCTAGCACTGAAGACCTTGGCTGGTCCCAGAAAATCCAAGTTCTCAGAACTACAGTCCCAACTTTGCCCTAAATGCCCCAAACATAACTCTTCAGAGGCTGGTCTGGGCTATGTTAGCATTTGTCAGGAGGGTTCATTTTCCCTCATATCCACACTTTATGGGCATTAATTGGGCGATTAACATATTCCTGTTATTTAAATTTGCTTGCATTAATTCAACCATAAGATGAAAACATTCTTCTGAGGATTTTTAAGCCTTTTACAATACTAACCTCTTTTCTACTGTATTTGACCTGCCAAAACATGTTTCCACTTCTTTCTCATGCCAGGTACGCTCCATGGTGAGTGACTTTGCTGTTTTCCTCACTATCTTCACAATGGTGATTATTGATTTTTTGATTGGAGTCCCATCACCAAAGCTTCAAGTTCCCAGTGTGTTCAAGGTAAACAGATCTCAGAGTGCTTGGTGCACTCATGTAATTTCATACATTCTGATGCCAAGTAAATTTCAAAGGCCTTTTCATATTCTAATCATGAGTTTTACAGTCCTCTAAATCTGAACCTTGCTCCTCACACCTTGTCATTTAGAAAAGCAAACTTCAGACTTGGTTGAATTCAAGTCAGAAAAGTCAGAGAACAGAAAAACCAAGGTTGTTTAATGAATGAAAAGTATTATTATTATTAATACCACTTATTGTTCTTAATATATTAATATTTAAACAATGGGATGTGCACGTTTACATAAATATATTCAAGACACTGTGGAAACATGGGTCTCTGGAACAAGCCTTGCTAACAGCACTTCCATTGAGCATCAGCTGTATAAGGGCACTGGGAAGGATGAAAAAGGTAAAGGACTTGGCCTGAACCTTCAAGGATGGTGCCCCTTCCTTGAAGGAGGAGAATGGAACTAAGAGGAGCATCATCAGGAGTCTGGGGCCCCTGCCAGAGTAATCATGACATCTCTTTTGAAATCATCTCAATCTGATTTCATTGTTTGTATAACTTTCTCTAATATATGGTATTTTTCAAGAACCTGTACAAAAAGTCAAACAAATATCAATACCTGGGGACTCCAAATCGATTTCAGTTTGGGAGCACTGACTAAGTAGACAAAGAAAATGGAAAAGCTGAGCTCAGTTCCATAGATCCCCATAGGGTGGAGAGGAAAGAAAATCTGTACGTACTCAGTACCTTGAGAAGAATTATGAAGTAGGAAAATGGGAGAAGTTGGTGAGGAGAAGGCCTACAGGAATAAAGGCAGTCCCTGACTTCTAAATGCTCCCTTCAGTTGTCCCTTTCCTTTCTCTTTTTTCTCTCTACCCGTGAAGTAGGCCTGTTGAAATACCTTCTTCCATATTGTCTGAAAATTTTTAATTTTGTTGAATTTGCTGAAATGCCACCAGTTGGAAGTTTATGGACTAACCAATCCCTCTTGTAAGTATAATACCTTCTAGAATATGGCATTCTCACCTTTGTGTGAATGAGCACAATCAGCTTTCTCTCTAATACCTAGCTGAGGTCAGTGCTTCAGGAGGAATGGATTTTGTGTAAAAATAGGTAATTTGGGAACATTAAGCAGTCTTTGGAAAGGTTCCCTAAGGGATAGGCCTAAGATAGTCAGAAGGCACTGAATTTCTGGGACATCTGTGAAGAAGGCCTCTGGGAGGTAGGACAGGGGAGAAAGGGAAACGGGAGAATGTCAAAGAATATGTTGCTCATGACAGACTCTATTTTCAGGAGGCAGAGAAGAAGTTTTCTTCTTTTTGTCCCTCCCTGTTGTACCACATGACACTTAACTCCCAAGACCCAATCTGAGGGCTAGTACTATTACTAGGGTATAACGTCATTAAGGGTTTATTTAATAAGTTTTTGTGTTGGTCTGAGAACTTAACTACCACTTAGAACATTGTTACTAAGGAAACATAGATTCTGTAAACTTTTAGAAACTAACCCATTCATAATTTTGGACTTGGTGGTGTTATTAAAGCGTCTTTGAATCCTAGAGCCATACTAATAAGGAACCAAATCAAATATAACAGTCTACGCTTTGTTTCTTGAGTTTGGGTCAACTCTGGGCCAGTTGGTGTCCCTGGCCTTTTATCCTCTAGCACCACTTGCCAAAAAAGGGTGAACTTGTCTTCCTCAGAGTACACTGCAGGGGTAGGGTAAGGATCTAGGTGAGTTTAGATATGTTGTGAACACCCCAATAAGATTTATAAACAGTTGTATTACAGGGGAATTAGAGAGGATCCTAGGTCAAACAAACCCCCAACTTTAGCCGTCTTAGGCTCCTTCTCAGGTCTCTGATGGCTGGACCCCTGTTTCACTACTGATGGGAGAAGACCGTTGGAGCAATCCAGTCCTATCAAAGCCCAAGAGATGCCATGCAGATGGCTGCAGTTTGCCTTTGTTTATGCTGTAGACACACATTATATGGCTCTGGAGAGAAGTAGTAGGAGAATAGTCTAAGTTATTTATATTTGTCTTTGGAAGTCATTAAATTTTTTTGACAACAGATATAGTTGTTATATTTTAATTGGATTAACGTTGAGATACAATTGTTTTCTCTCTACACAGAGGTTTGGAAGGTAAGTGGAAGGAAGTGCAAGATTAATGAATATTTCACAAGAAATTGATAATTGAAGATTGACTGTTTCAAAGGGGATTTGGAACTATTACTGAGCAAAAGGGGCTTGCTGCCCAATGTGCTAGAAGCCAATACTATGATACCAGGTTTTTGAGAGAAGAAAAGTTTTTTATTTCAAGTTTACTAACAAGGAGACAGGAATTCAGCTCAAATCTGTCTCTCTGCACTGGCTTTACTGCAATAATTAGAAAAGGTTTAGGGGTGGATTCTGGGATGGTAGGTTATTGGTAGAAGGAAAGGGGAGGTCTGGAAAGTCCTCAGGCATTCTTAGTTATCTCTTCATGCTACCTTGGGTCCCATGTGCCAAGGGAGTTTCAGCAAGTTGTTTCTTTTCTTATCTACCACTCTGCAAACCCAAGAATTTCTGTTAGTCATTGGCGTCTTTAACTCTGGGGAATGGTTTCAGAACAAGGTCATAGATTTCCTAAGGAGTTGCTGTATTTCATGCCTTTTTTTTTTAAGAACCCTCACTCAAGAATAAAAAGAAATATGGATATTGTGATCCAGTTTGATATGTTTTACCCTAATAACTATAACTTAAAATACCAAAATAATATATTTTTTCCCCCTTAGCCAACAAGGGATGATCGTGGATGGATTATTAATCCCATTGGCCCCAATCCCTGGTGGACTGTGATAGCTGCAATTATCCCAGCTCTTCTCTGCACTATCTTGATATTCATGGATCAGCAGATCACAGCTGTCATTATTAACAGGAAGGAACATAAGCTCAAGGTAAAAAGAGGTTCTGACCTAGAAGGCTGCTATGGCAATCTGTTACATTTTTTTTTTTTTTTTAATTGTAGGGTAAGCACATCTAGACCAGAAACTATAAAATCTCATAGAAGAGGTTCATAAGAGGTTTCCATTCTTTATTAACAAAGATTGCTTTGGAGATGAGACTAGAGTGGAGCATGGTGGTATGGTATGAAAGCAACGTGGACTCCATTACTGTCCTCTCACACCTGTGGGGAAGGTGATTGGGTAGAGTTCCTGGTGATCCCTATATAGCTATATGCTTTGGGTCAAGCAGCTGTACAGCTTGTCTTCCTGAGGTTCAGGTAGGGGCCTGGGCCATTGTTTCCTAGAGGCAGGTATTCTCCCATTGGTGTCTGTTACTATAGTTTCTAGGCTGAAACTGGAACCCTAGGATCCTAGGGAAGTAACAGAGCAGGCAAGCAACATCCAAATCTGTCAAGGATCTGGGGGTATGTGGTAGGAAGCCAATAAGGACATTTATCTCTAACTCCTATAGTTTCTACCATCTAGAATGGTCAAGATGTGGCATGGTGTCTGATTACTCTTCCAGAGAAGAATGGATCTTTGAATGTGTAAGACTCAGAGTAAGCTAGAGGCACTTGGAAAAAGAATCAATACTGGCATATATAGGACAGGCTAAGATTCCCCTTTTTCTTCTTTGTTTCCTCCTAACCAGGAGGGGCTACAAGACTCCTCTTGGATCCCTGAACCCCTTCCTTCTTATCCATACACCCCTTCCTGCTTTGGGCCTGAGACCCCTAACTCACTGTTCTATGCCCGACTATAGCTAGCCTACTGATGTGTTTCCCCACAGAAAGGCTGTGGCTACCACCTGGACCTACTGATGGTGGCCATCATGCTGGGTGTCTGCTCCATCATGGGCCTGCCCTGGTTTGTAGCTGCAACCGTCTTGTCCATCACACATGTGAACAGCCTCAAGCTAGAATCTGAATGCTCTGCTCCTGGAGAACAGCCCAAATTCCTGGGCATCCGAGAACAAAGAGTGACAGGCCTTATGATCTTTGTGCTGATGGGCTGCTCAGTCTTCATGACGGCTATCTTAAAGGTAATCATCCCTTCACTTATTCGGCAAATATCAAGGGCCTGATTTGTGCCAGGAATCCTGCCAGGTGCTGGAAATACAGTGGTGCCAAACAGATATATGTACAAATTCCTGCCCTGAAAGAGTTTATTCTAGAGGGGTAAGGCAGATAATATGTAGTTAAGAAAATTAGTTAAGAAAACAAACATGATAACTACAGAATGTGAGTAGTGATATAAAGGAAATACACAGTGCTTTCTGGCACTATAGAGAATTCAGAGGGGTCTATTTTAGTTAGGGTGGTCAGAGAAGACTTCTCTGAGGAGATGCTATTTAAGATGAGGTGTAGGCCGGGCGCGGTGGCTCACACCTGTAATCCCAGCACTTTGGGAGGCTGAGGCGGGCGGATCATGAGGTCAGGAGATTGAGACTATCCTGGCTAACGCGGTGAAACTCTGTCTCTACTGAAAATACAAAAACAAAATTAGGCGTGGTGGCGGGCACCTGTAGTCCCAGCTACTTGGGAGGCTGAGGCCGGAGAATGGCGTGAATCCAGGAGGCAGAGCTTGCAGTGAGCCGAGATCGCACCACTGCACTGCAGCCTGGGAGACAGAGCGAGACTCCGTCTCAAAAAAAAAAAAAAAAAAATGAGCCGAGATCGCACCACTGCACTGCAGCCTGGGAGACAGAGCGAGACTCCGTCTCAAAAAAAAAAAAAAAAAAGATGAGATGGAGCCAGTCATGCCATGGATGGTGGGAGATGGCATGGAAGGAGGGGAGAAAAGCGAAAAGCAGTCTAGTCAGGCCCTGAGGTGGGAAAGAGTGATACGAAATGTCAGGGCCATGTAGCTCATGGGCATTGAGTCAAGACAAGAGCACAGTGCAATGAGAAGGAAAGAGGGGCAGGGGCGGGTCACATAGGGCCTTGTCGACGGTGGGTAAGGTAACTTTTGAAGGGTTTTAACAGGAGAGGGACATGATCCAGCTAGTTTAAAAAGATCACTCTGGCTGATGTCTAGGGAAGAAGAGAAGCAGACAGACCAGTGAAGCTGTTGCAGGTAACAGATGCTGGTGTCTTGGATAAGGAAGCTGGTAGCAGGGCCAGATAAAAAGGCATAGCTTCTATATAGCATGGTGGCAGACCCAAAGGTCTCAATTGTTGACTGGATGTGGAATGGGGTGAGGAAAATAGAAAAATCGAAGAAGCCTATTAGGTTTCTGACTTGACCATCTGGTGGAGAGTGATGACATTTATGAAGATGGAAAAGATTGTATGATTTTTGTGAGGGGTAGGGCTGTGATCAGATTTGGAGTGAGATGTCTGGGAGTCATCTAAGTGAAGAGGCTAGAGGAGGTTTCTGGAATAAAATATAAATTTGAGAGTCACCAGCACACAGGTGGTATTGAAAGCCGAGGGAATAGATGAGAGAGCTCAGGGAAGAGAAGACATAAAAGAGAAGTGGGACATGGGAGAAGAGCAGAGTTAGAGGTTGGGTAGAGGAAGAGATAGCAACAGAGTCTCAGAAGGAGTTGCCAGAGAGGTGGGAGGAAAACTAGGGGGATGTGGTATCAGGGAAGCCAAGTGAGGACAATGTTTCAAGAAAGAGGGATTGGGTAGACACATCTTGGAAGATGAAGACTAAGCTAAGGCCATTGGATTTAGCAACATTGGAGGCCTCGGGTTATCTGACAAGAGCAGAGTCAGTGGATTGCATTAGTTTCTGCTGCCTGTGGGTGATTTAGAAGTAGAAGCAAAAGCAGAAGCTGACCATCATAAAAATCATTGTGTTCTGAAATGAAATGATTATATGTAAGTTAAATTACAGGCCTCTGTGTCTGGCTCTTCCTCCACCCCTGTCTGGGGATGGGCAGACACACACACACACACACACACACACACACACACACACACACACACACACACACACACACACACCCCTCTTTAACAGAAATGAAGCCTTTTAAATCTTCCATAATCTCAAAATTTTTCCAAATCCTTAGGGATTTAGTGTATTTTAACATGGAACTTTTTTACTGACCAGTAACTTGAGGCAGGAGTTGAGGGTATCTTATCAGAGAAGAAATTCAGTGGAACTATAGGGTAGAAATCCAATTATAGGTGGTTAAAGAGTGAATAGGAGGAAAAGAAGTAAAGAGTGCAGGCAAATCTTTCAGGAGGTTTTTCTGTGAAGCAGGATGGAAAAATAGCAGTGGCTAGGATGAGAAGTGGGGCTGAAAGAGAGGGTGTTTTTTTTTTTTTTTTTTCCGCTACAGATAGAGGATACTTTGAACATTAAAAAAATGTTTGGGTGGAAGGCCTGCATTTGGGAGATTGGGGTAAGAAGGAAACTTTACGGCTGTATTACCAGGTACCAATCATTCTGGAGCACTGCCTTGTCTCCCTTGCCTCCTCTTTCCTTCTTTTTGGCAAATCTTCAACCACCCCAGCCTGTACCACAAATGCCCTTCAAGGGTAAGAACTGAGAGGGATGGGAAGGATTTCTGAACCATCTTCTTGTCCCCCCACTTTCCACTCAACCTTACCACCCACCTCTCCTCATGCCCCTTTCCCACCACATATTCCCTGTCCCCATCCCAACTCCCGCTCCCACCTGGTTGAGGCACCATCTGGAAGAGCCTAAACGTTGCTGCTTCTCCAAGATAGAACCATGAAGCCATGGCAGTGGCCATCACTGGGCCTTCCTCTAGCTGCTTCAGGACAGTTCTCTTAGGACAACTATTCAGTAGTTCACAAACAGCATAGAATTGGCATGTCTAGTCACTCTACAGCTGGAACATAAAATCCAATGGGGGGTTTTTCTAGTTCTTTGTTTTTTAAAATTTTACTTTAAGTTCTGGAATATATGTGCAGAACGTGCAGGTTTGTTACATAGGTATACATGTGCCATGGTGGTTTGCTGTACCTGTCAACCCATCATCTAGATTTTAAGCCCCACATGCATTAGGTATTTGTCCTAATGCTCTCCCTCCACTTGCCCCCAACCCCCCGACAGGTCCTGGTGTGTGATGTTCCCCTCCCGGTGTCCATGTGTTTTCATTGTTCAGCTTCCACTTATGAGTGAGAACATGCGGTGTTTGGTTTTCTGTTCCAGTGTTAGTTTGGAGGTATTTTCTAAGTCTAAGAATTAGGTTTGGGAATATTCTTTAGCCCTAAAATAAAAACGAGTCCATTTTAGTTTTCAGCTCTGAGACTTGCCTTGCCTTGATTCTATAGGCCCAATTTCCCTACCTCAGAATCAATCTGAAGATTACCTAGGTTGATAGACATGATGTGATCAGAAAGTCGTATTCAAATACTATGTGGATGTTCAAGTGCAATATAATAATGTCGGTGTTTCCCCCCAGACTGTTGCCTCTCTGATAAGATACCTCCCTACTCTTGCCCTCAAGCCACTGGTCAGTAAAAATGGAAGCTTTTTTGGTTCACGTTAAAATGCATCAAATCCTTGAGGAGTTGATTGTGAGATTACAGAAGATTTAAAAGGCATTATTTCTATAAGAGAGGGGTGTGTGTGTGTGTGTGTGTGTGTGTGTGTGTATGTGTATGTGTGCCCATCCCCATGGAGGAGGAAGAGCCAGATGGCTGATATAGGAGGCCTAACTTACTTGTAATCATTTCATTTTCGAACAAATGATTTTTATCATTGTCAGCTTCTGCTTTTGCTTCTACTCCTAAGTCACCCACAAGCAGCAGAAACTAATGCAATGTTTCTGCAGCTATTTTGTGGCTTTATTTCATTCTTGGAGATTTAAAAGTTTATATAGTTTTGAGTGTGCTGTGACACCAAATTTAATTTCTGGCCTTTCTTGTCCTTTTGTCTTCAGTTTATTCCAATGCCAGTACTCTATGGAGTTTTCCTCTACATGGGAGTTTCTTCACTACAGGGAATTCAGGTATTGTGTGGTTCAGCCAGAGAAGTTTCTTCTCACTGCATGTCCTGTCCAGGGAGAGACAGCTCACCAAGAGAAGCGCAACCAGTTCTTGAGAAAATTATTTCCTAGTCTTGCCACTTAGGCTATTTTAGACACTTATTTGGATACAGGGAGAAAAACAGCCATGTTGGCAGGAGAGTACAGAGACTTTCAGGGTGGTCTGGCTTGATGTCATGGCCCCAGTCATTCATTAATTATTCAACAGACAATTTTTTTTGGCACGTATTAAGCATTAGGTGCTTTGCCAGGTGCTGGTAAACTTGGATCTGAAAGGTTGATCAAGAACCAAACTGGCTTTCACTCATGGACAGATCTAGTTTAGTGTCAGGCTAAAGTGTAAAAATGGGGTGTTTAACTTTGAGGGGGTTCACTGGCAGAAGAGAGATGGGGGAATAGTGCGAGTTGCTCCTGGTAAGGAGATGTCACTTCTTGTTATACTCTGCATTTTTCCATCCATCAACTCATTGCTCTAAGTCTTTCAAAAAGAAAAATCAGGAGCTTGTCATTGATAACTTGGGTATTCCAGATAATATAGTAACTTAGGCTTATGATTCTTTGTTTGAATGGAATGCCCAATGGCCATTCTTATATACTGAGTTCTAATATGAACTTGGGCAGATTATTTAATCTCTGGTTCTCTTTCTTCCTTTTTGTAAGGATGATCATTTTTTATATATCTAGGATGTTATGAGGTTTTATTTTATCTTGTCACTATAAATAATCAGTGAATAGCTCCAAACTCCTAAAACAAGTAAGAGATTTGGTTTTGATAATAAGCAAAAAGATGTAATTTTGTTTCCAACACCCCCTGAGAAAGAGCTCTCTTAGGAGCCACAGAGTGGGATAGGAGAAAGAAGTTTGAACCTAGAATTAGAAAAGATGGATTCAAATTATGACTTTGCCACTTACTAACCTTGGCCAAATTGCCTGGTCTTTTAAAGTCTCAGTTTCCATTTCTGTCCAGAGGAAATGGTGTTACCTACCTTTCAGAGCAGGTGATGTAAGAGATATGAATGGGTCTAAAAGCTTCCGACCCAGAGAGCCCTCCAGAAAATAAATGCCAGTTCCTTCCTTTCAGTTCTTTGATCGTCTAAAGCTCTTTGGGATGCCCGCAAAGCACCAGCCAGATTTCATTTACCTGCGTCATGTGCCACTGCGCAAAGTGCACCTCTTCACTCTCATCCAGCTGACCTGTCTCGTCCTGCTCTGGGTCATCAAGGCATCTCCAGCTGCCATTGTTTTCCCAATGATGGTGAGGTGGTTTTAAAAAATAAATTCTTTTTTTTTTTTTAATCATTGTTATTTTTATTTATTTATTTATTTATTTATTATTATTATTATTATACTTTAAGTTCTAGGGTACATGTGCATAACGTGCAGGTTTGTTACATATGTATACTTGTGCCATGTTGGTGTGCTGCATCCATCAACTCGTCAGCACCCATCAACTCGTCATTTACATGAGGTATAACTCCCAATGCAATCCCTCCCCACTCCCCCCTCCCCATGATAGGCCCCGGTGTGTGATATTCCCCTTCCTGAGTCCAAGTGATCTCATTGTTCAGTTCCCACCTATGAATGAGAACATGCGGTGTTTGGTTTTCTGTTCTTGTGATAGTTTGCTGAGAATGATGGTTTCCAGCTGTATCCATGTCCCTACAAAGGACACAAACTCATCCTTTTTTATGGCTGCATAATATTCCGTGGTGTATATGTGCCACATTTTCTTAATCTAGTCTGTCACTGATGGACATTTGGGTTGAATTAAATTCTTATTATCATTGTTATTTTTTTAATTGTGGTAAAACATTATAACTATAAAATTTACCATTTTTAAGTGTACGGTTGAGTGGCATTAAGTACATTCACATTGCTGTGGAGCCATTACCACCCTCCAGCTCTGGAACTTTTTACATCCTGCAAAGCTGAAACTCTGCACCTATTAAACACTAAATCCCCATTCTCCCATACCCTCAGCCCCTGGCAACCACCATTCTACTTTCTGTCTCTATGTATTTGATTATTCTAGGTACATCATATAAGTGAATCACAATTTGCCCTTTTGCGACTGGCTAATTTCTTTTCTTTCTTTTCTTTTTTTTTTTTTTGAGATGGAGTTTCACTCTTGTTGCCCAGGCTGGAGTGCAATGGCGCGATTTTGGCTCACTGCAACCTCCACCTTCCAGGTTCAAGCGATTCTCCTGCCTCAGCCTCCCTAATAGCTGGGATTACAGGTGCCCACCACCATGCCCAGCTAATTTTTTGTATTTTTAGTAGAGATGGAGTTTCACTATGTTGGCCAGGCTGGTCTCAAACTCCTGACCTCAGGTGATTCACCTGCCTCAGCCTCCCAAAGTACTGGGATTATAGACATGAGCCACTGCGCCCAGCTTGTGACTGGCTAATTTCATTTAGCCTAATGTCTTCAAGGTTAATCCATGTTGTAGCATGTGTCAGAATTTCCTTCCTTTTCAAGATTGAATAGTATCCCACTATATGTAAACACTACATTTTGTTTATCCATTCACCTGTCGATAATACTGCTATAAATATGGCTTTACAGATATCTGTTAGTGTCTCTGTTTTCAATTCTTTGGGGAATATACCAGGAGTGGAATTGCTGGATCATACGGAAATTCTATCTTTAATTTTTTTTCTAATCTTCTAGATCCACAACCTCCTGGTGGGTTTCTCAATTTTGTCAGAATACGTATAAGGCTTTGCATTTGTGTGTTATATTCATGGGTTAAAGAAATAGTAAATTACTGGGAACTCCTAGAAGGGATCCTATCAATTCCAGATGTATCAGGAAAGTAGTCACTAAAATCAGAGAGAAATGTACTTGAATTTAATAAGCCTGATTTGCCTCATTCCTTGTGCAGTCACCAAATATAGCTGATGAACACCAGTCCACCCAGACAGGATTAATTCTTTGTTTTCCTTTGGCTAAAATGGCCCTCATGGAAAGAAAGTGGAGCAGCAATTGGGATGCCCTGGACCTACCTTTATTGGGGAAATCAGCTGTCAGATTTTAGGCAAGTCACTTTCTCTCTGGGCCTCAATTTCCTCATTTATAAAGTGAGTGTCAGGCCAGGCCAGAGGGCAGAGACAAAAACCACTGGAGACACATGATGCAGGCCCAAAGCAAGGATTTGGGTAGGGGAATGTATAGGCAAAGGATCAGAAGGAATAAAGATGATCTTCTAAGAACCCATCATCCCACTGTGAGGAATGCTTGGGGTGGCTGTGGCTGGTCTCACCATGGCCCAGCTCCAGCAGAAGCTTTCTACCCACCTGCTGTCCTGTAGCCTTCCTGCTGACCTCTAGCCGTCTGCAGATGAGGAGCTCATCTTTTCAATGACAGAATCCAGTTAGCTGCTCTCTAAGTTGTAGAGCTATTGTTGTAGTTAAAATATTGTATATAACATATGTTACCTGGCACAAAGAAAGCATTCAATAAATGGTGACAGTTATGATTCTTATGAGTTTGATTTTGCTTGAAATGTCCTAGTCTGCTGTAAAAATAAGGCTTTGCTTTTAAGTCCAGGAAGGAAATTTGTACCTTTCATTCACTTTCTTTTTTCATTTTTCTTCAGGTTTTGGCCTTGGTCTTTGTCAGGAAAGTCATGGATCTCTGTTTCTCTAAGCGAGAGCTGAGTTGGTTAGATGATCTCATGCCTGAAAGCAAAAAGAAGAAGTTGGATGATGCCAAAAAGAAGGCCAAGGAGGAAGAGGTCATAGTCCTTGCACCAACTGTATACCTGGGGGCCTCAAATTACAGAACATAGGAAAGGCCACATGAAAAGTTGGCATGTCTGGAATCCCAAGGGTTATATTTAGGAGCTAGGAAGTTTACCTCCAAAGATGCTCTCAGCTGAGAATGGATTAGGGATTCTTGCTCCTGTCTGTTCTTCATTTTTGGGTTTGACAACCAGTTATTTTTTCCTTTGTCTACAATCTACTCACCAGGCTCATACCTAGAATGTGAACATACAATATGCCCTTATTAACAGATTCAATGGCTCACATTCTTTCAAAAGGACTAATTTGACAAATATATAAGACCCATTATTTCCTAGAATGTTTGTAATGTATCTAATTGCAAATGGTGCTGTGGTTGGCACTATGCCAAAATAACTTGCATAGGACTTTCTATCTTTTTTCATTTCCCTCAGCACTTGGCATCTTGTCATCTACACAATGGACCCTCAATAAATGGCCTATATATGCAAAGAAAGAATGTGTAGCAAAATGAAAATACCAGACCAAGAAATGAGTGAGCTGGGAAGTGTTTCCAAATACAGTTAGTGCCTAAAATAGTGTCCTTTGAAAAAACTTTTAAAAGACTTTTTTTTTTTAGGCCAGGCACAGTGGCTTATTGCTGTAATTCCAGGGCTTTGGGAGTCGAGGCTGGAGGATCACTTGAGGCCAGGAGTTTGAGACCAGCCTAGGCAACATAATGAGACCCTGTCTCTAAAAAAAAAATAAAAAGAATTAGCTGGATGTGGTGGCACATACCTGTAGTCAGCTACTTGGGAGGCTGAGGTGGGAGGATACCTTGAGCCCAGGAGGTTGAGGCTGCAGCAAAGCTGTGATCATGCCACTGCATTCCAGCCTAGGCTGAGTGAGATCCTATCTCGAAAAAAAAAAACAAAAGAAAACAAAACAAAAGTCTTGTATTTCTAAATAAGCTTCAACAATTATAAAATATAAAGTCAATGGAAGAAAACTTTAAAGATAATATTGATAGAATTCACTACATAAAATGTTATGCTTTCGGGCATCCAAAACTCTAAACAGAATTTAAAAATAACAGTTAAGTTGAGACGTGTTAATATCTTTACTATTCAAATAATTCTTATATATTAATAAGAATAATATGAAATTGAAATGAGCAATGGACATATATAATTTACAAAAAAGAAGTACAAATGGCTAGTTGCCCTATGACAAAAATTTCATTCTCACTAATAATCAAAGAAATGATTGTGCAGCATCTGGATTTTATGAAATGAAAATAAATATTAAAAAATAAAAAAATGAAAATTTAAACAAGGAGAATACATTATTTTTACTTGTCGAATTGGCAAAGATTTTTAAAAGATAAAAACAAGTGTTGGCAAGACTGTAATTGAAATGGGCTTCTCACACTCTAAAAGTGGTAATATGAGTTGCATAAATCTCTTTAGAGGGCAGTTTAACCACAGAGTCTTAAAAGTGTATATGCCCTTTGGCCCAGCAACTCTAATTTTTAAATTTATCCTAAGGATACAATTAGCAATGTAAACAAAATATTTTAATTGTGGTGGCATAAAGAAAAAAAAGAAAATTAGAGTAAATATATTACAATAGACTATTGTACAACAGTTTAAAAATAATTTTTTTTTTTTTTTTTTTTTTGAGACAGAGTCTCGCTCTGAGTGCAGTGGCCTGATATTGGCTCACTGCAATCTCTGCCTTCTGGGTTCAAACGATTCTCCTGCCTCAGTCTCCCAAGTAGCTGGGACTACAGGCGCGCCACCATGCCCAGCTAATTTTTGTATTTTTAGTAGAGACGGGGTTTCACCATGTTGTCCAGGATGGTCTCGATCTCTTGACCTCGTGATCCACCCGCCTCAGCCTCCCAGTGTTGGGATTACAGGTATGAGCCACTGTGCTTGGCCTAAAAATAAAGTTTTAAAAAATACTTAATGATGCTATTTTGTAATGATACTTAATGGTATGTGCTGTAGTCCCAGCTACTTGGGAGGCTAAGGCGGGAGGATCGCTTGAATCTGGGAGGCGGATGTTGCAGTGAGGTGAGATGACACCACTGCACTCCAGCCTGGGCGACAGAGAGAGATCTTGTCTCAAAAGAAAGAAAAAAAAAAAGGCTGGGTGTGGTGGCTCATGCCTGTAATCCCAGCACTTTGGGAGGTCAAGGCGGGCAGATCACCTGAGGTCAGGAGTTCGACACCTGGCCAACATGGTGAAACACTGTCTCTACTAAAAATACAAAAAAATTAGCCAAGCATGTTGGTGCATGCCTATAATCCCAGCTACTCAGGAGGCTGAGACAGGAGAATCACTTGAACTGGGGAGGCAGAGGCTATAGTGAGCTGAGATCATGCCATTGCACTCCAGCCTAGATGAAAAAGCAAGACTTTGTCTCAAAAAAAAAAAAAAAAAAGATATGTGGACATGTTTCTGACATTTTATGTGAAAACATAGAGAACATAAAATGGAGCATACAGTAAGACTGTCAAAGAACCTCACTTTTACTAAAACATATACATATACACATACTGTACACACACACGTGCATGTGTGCACCCCCCACACACGAAAAAGATGGGAAGAAAATACACCAAAATGTTCATTGTGGTTCTCTATGTCTCTCTAGGTGGTAAGATTATACATTTTTTTGATTAATTTCCTTCCTTCCTCCATATTTATTGAATCTTTACTCTGTTGTCACTGTTCCAGACCCAGTAGTATACAGGACAGAGAGAGTCCCTGACCGACCCCATGGAGCTTACATTCTCATGGAGGTGACACTGTCAACAAGCAAACAAGTCTATATTTATTTTCTTGGTTATAGTGCTATAATTTATATACATATATATATAATTTTAGGTAGTGATATGTTTTTTTTTAAAATTTATTTATTATTATTACACTTTAGGTTGTAGGGTACATGTGCATAACGTGCAGGTTTGTTACATATGTATACTTGTGCCATGTTGGCTTAAAGCGCAGTATTGGGGTGGAGTTACCCGATTTCCAGGTGTCATGTGTCTCAGTTCCACCTGTAGGAAAAAGGATTCCCTTCCCCCTTGCGCTTCCAGGTGCGGCAATGCTCGCCCCTGCTTCAGCTCTCGCTGGTTGGGCTGCAGCAGCTGACCAGCACCGATCGTCCGGCAC